TACAGTTGAGACAGCCAACATGTGTATTCTTACATTCACCAGAGGCAGTGGCTCCTCCAGGCCTCTTTATGGTGCGCCACTGCTCCCAGGAACCCTACAAAGACAAGTGGCTCACAATAGGTCCTCCTAGGGAGTCAGCGCAAAACAATGGATAGTGGTGTCGTACATATTGCATTCTTCAGTAATCTCTTACTTGTGATTGGTGGAATAAGAGAGGTAACGTCATCAAATTTCAGCCAATAGGAAAACAGAGCAATCAATCAACACAACACCCCAACTTATGTTTTGCTGTTGGATATTTATTCTCCTTTTTCATTGTTCAGGTTGTGATAATACTGAAAATGTTATGGGCAGTGTGTATTTATTTAGCGTCATATTTCCCAGACTTCAAATAGTAGACAGAGAATATATATCAACAGCAAAGCATAAGATTAGAGGTGTTATGTACTGCTACTCTGTTCTCCATTAACTGCAATTTGATGACGTTATCTACCTCCACCAATCACGTTTATAGGGATTACTGGACGAATACCAAAATGTAACAAAACTATGAAGTTCTTGGGACGATGCTGCATGTGGAAGAGGGTTTTGGGGAGCCATCGCCCATGCAGAGACCCTGCCGTCCCTGGAAAGGCACCCACTATGACTAGGAGGGCCCATACCAGCGCCACCGGCCCTAGGAGGCCCATTGGGGCACTGCAGCCCCATGGCAGGGTCATTTTGGGCAGAGTGCCCCATAGAGACAGGGGAGACACCTCTAGAAGGGCCTCGAAAATGCGCGGGTAGCACCAATTGGTGCCGCCGTCCCTGAGAACCCACCCTGAAGGTCCCGTCCTCTGAGGGGTCCCTGGGATCGTTGTATCCCTGTGGTGGGTCGTATGCAAGGCACGGAGGCACCCCAGGGCCCTCTCGGGTTCAGTGGTGCCCCCAGGGAGACCTGTCAGAGACGCTGGAGCCACCAGGGGCAGTCTTAGGATAACTGTAATCCTGGGGCTTCTCGGGAAGGCAGCATCGACAGGAGCTCCTCAGGAACAGCCGAGCTTCCGCGGCCTCTCAGGGAGGCAACGCTCCATAGGAACCGCGGGGACGGCAGCACGCCTAGGACCCTCACAGGGGACGGCGTCCATGAGCCCTGTTAGGGCGCTGGCGACCTAAGGGCCCTTACAGCGACAGTCATGATTTCTGGGGCCTTTCCAGGGACAGGGGCGCCTCCAGGTACGTTCTAGCTGCACGGTGCTCCCAAGGCCCTGCCAGCGGCTGTGGCGCCCAGCCCAGGGACTTCAGGCAGCCAGGCCTCAGCTTTATGGGTCGCCATGGGACCTCACAAAAGACTTGTGGCTCACAATAGGTCCTCTAAGGATGGCGCAAAAACAATGGATAGTGGTGTCGTACATATTGCATTCTTCCGTAATCTCTTTAACTGTGATTGGTGGAATAAGAGAGTAACGTCATCAAATTTCAGCCAATAGGAAAACAGAGCAATCAATCAGCACAACACCCCAACTTATGTTTTGCTGTTGGATATTTATTCTCCTTTTCATTGTTCAGGTTGTGATAATACTGAAAATGTTATGGGCAGTGTGTATTTAAATCATATTTCCCAGACTCCAAATAGTAGAACGAGAATATATATCCAACAGCAAAAGCATAAGGTGAAGTGTTATTGACTACTGCTCTGTTCTCGTATTAGCTGTAATTTGATGACGTTCATCTTACTCCACCAATCATGTTTAAAAAGGGATGACTGGACGAATGAAAAATGTACCACAAAACTATGAAGTTATTGGGACGATGCTGCATGTGGATGGGTTTCTGGGGGCGCCATCACCCATGGCAGAGACCCTGCCGTCCCTGGAAAGGCACCCAATACGACTAGGAGGCCCCAGCGCCGCTGGCCCTAGGAGTGCCCATTGGAGGCGCGCTGCGGCCCTGGCAGGATTTTTGCAGAAAACCCCATAGAGGACCCTTGGGAGACACCGCCTTTGGAAGGGCCTCGAAGCCACTGCCGTGGTATGGCCCCTGGTGGTGCCGCCATCCTGAGCACCTGAAGGCGCCCCCCGTCCGTGTAAGGGACCCTGGGATCGCCACATATTCCTGTGGTGATCTTGCCATACGGGGGCGCTCGGGCCTCTCAGGGTCGGCGGTGCATACAGGGGACCTGTCAGAGGCGCTGGAGCCACCAGGGGGCGGTCGGAAGATAACTGTAATCCTAGGGGCCTTCTCCAGGGAAGGCAGCATCGACAGGGGCTCCTCGGACAGCCGAACTTCAGGCTCAGGAGGCGGCACTCCATAGAACTTCGCGAGGACGCCTAGGACCCTCACAGGGCGGCTGACGTCCCCACTGGAGCCCTATTAGAGGCGCTGGCGCCCTAAGACGCGAAACAGTATGATTTCTGGGGCCTTTCAGGGACAGGGGCGCCTCAGGTACGTTCTGTACCCCATGGAAGTGCTCCCAGAGGTTCCTCGGCTGTGGCGCCAGCCGATGGGACGCCTTCCAGAGGCGGTGGCTCCCTCCAGGCCTCTTTATGGGACGCCATTGCTCCCAGGGACCCTGCGGTTATGGCCCACAATAGATCCTCCTAGGAGTCAGCGCGCCAAAACAATGGATAGTGAAGTGTCGTACATATTGCATTCTTCAGTAATCTCTTACTTAAGTGTGATTGGTGGAATAAGAATGCGTCATCAAATTTCAGCCAATAGGAAAATAGAGCAATCAATCAGTCACCCCAACTTATGTTTTGCTGTTGGATATGTATTCTCTCATTGTTCAGGTTGTAATACACTGAAAATGCTATGGGCAGTGTGTATTTATTTAATGTCATATCTCCCAGACTTCCAAATAGTGAGAACCAGATATCAACAGCAAAGCATAAGTTGAGGTGTTCTGACTATTACTCGTTCTCCTATTGGCTGTAATTTGATGACGTTACATCTATCCACCAATCACGTTAAATAAAGGATTACTGTGCAATCACAAAATGTCTGACAAAATATAGTTCTTGGGACGTGCTGTGGATGGGTTTCTGGGGCGCCATCGCCATGGCAGAACCCTGCCGTCCTGAGGCACCCACTACTAGGGGCCCATACCAGCGCCCTTGGCCAAGAGGGCCCATAGGGATGCTCCAGCCCCTGGCGTGTTTTGAGCAGAATTGCTCCATAAAGGGGGACCCTTAGGGAGACACCACCTTTAAAGGGCCTCGAAAATGCGCCTGCCTGTAGTATGGTCCCTGGTAGTACCGCCGTCCACCTAGAACACCCCTGAGTGCCCCATCCCTGCAAGGGCCCTGGGAACTACGTTGCTATCCCTGTATTGGGTCACTTGTCCATGCAAGGCACGGGAAGCACCCAGGGCCCTCTCAGGTTGTGGTGCAGGGACTGTCAGAGGCGCTGGAGCCACCAGCAGGGCAGGTCTTAGGAATAACTGTAATCCTAGGGGCCTTCTCCAAGGCAGCGTCGACAGAGCTGCTCCAGGAACAGCCAAGCTTCCATGGGCCTCTCAGGGAAGCAACGCTCCAATGGAACCGCGGGGACGGCAACACGCCCTGGGACCCTCACAGGGACGGCAGCGTCCCCAGGCCTGTTAGGGGCGCGCAGCCTAAGGGGCCCTCACAGCGACAATCATCATCCTGGGGCCTTTCCAGGGACGAGGCATACCCAGGTACGCCTAGCTGCTGCGGTGCTCCCAGCGGCCCTGCCAGCGGCAGTGGCGCCTTTAGGGGCCCTTCCAGAGCCGGTGGCTCCCCCCAGACCTATTTACTGGGCGCCACTGCTCCCAGGGACCCTGCCAAGGCCTTTAGCTCACAATAGGTCCTCCTAGGTGAGGCGGCGCCCCAAAACAATGGATAATGGTGTCCGACATATTGCATTCTTCCAGTAATCTCTTACTTAACTGCAATAGGTGGAATAAGAGGTAACGTCATCATATTACAGCCTATAGGAAAACAGAGCAATCAGTCAGCACAACACCCCAACTTATGTTTTGCTGTTGGATATTTATTCTCCTTTTCATTGTTCAGGTTGCGATAATACTGAAAATGCTATGGGCAGTGTGTATTTATTTAATGTCATATCTCCCAGACTTCAAATAGTGAAACGAGAATAAATATCCAACAGCAAAGCATAAGGTGGGGTGTTGTGCTGACTGATTGCTCTGTTCTCCTATTGGCTGTAATTTGATGACGTTACATCTTACTCCACCAATCACGTTTAAGTAAGGGATTACTGGACGAATGCAAAATGTACAACAAAACTATGAAGTTCTTGGGACAATGCTGCATGTGGAAGGGGTTTTGGGGCGCCATCGCCCCTGGCAGAGACCCTGCCGTCCCTGGAAAGGCACCCACTATGACTAGGAGGGCCCATACCAACGCCACCGGCCCTAGGAGGGCCCACTTGGGGGCTGCAGCCCCTGGCAGGGTCATTTTGGGCAGAAGTGCCCCATAGAGGGACCCTTGGGGAGACACCGCCTTTGGAAGGGCCTCGAAAATGCGTTACTGCCGTGGTATGGCCCCTGGTGGTGCCGCCGTCCCTGAGAGCACCCCTGAAGGCGCCCCCGTCCGTGTAAGGGACCCTGGAATCGCCGCTATTCCTGTGGTGGGTCACTTGGCCATGCAAGGCACGGAGGCGCTCCCAGGGCCCTCTCAGGGTCGGCGGTGCATATAGGGGACCTGTCAGAGGCGTTGGAGCCACCAAGGGTGGTCTTACGAACAACTGTAATCCTAAAGGCCTTCTCAGGGAAGGCAGCGTCGACAGGGGCTCCTCCAGGAACAGCCGAGCTTCCATGGGCTTCCCAGGGAGGCAACGCTCCATGAGAACTTCGTAGGGACGGCAACACGCCTAAGGACCCTCACAGGGACGGCGGCGCCCCCATGGGCCCTGTTAGGGGCGCTGGCGACCCTAGGGGCCCTCACAGCGGCAGTCATGATCCCTGGGGGCCTTTCCAGGGACGGGGGCGCCTCCAGGCACGTTCCGAGCTGCCGCGGTGCTCCCAGAGGCCCTGCCAGCGGCTGTGGTGCCTTCAAGGGCCCTTCCAGAGGCGGTGGCTCCCTCCAGGCCTCTTCATGGGGCACCATTGCTTCCAGGGACCCTGCAAAGACCTGTGGCTTACAATAGGGCCTCCTAGGGGAGTCAGCGCACCAAAACAATGGATAGTGGTGTCGTACATATTGCATTCTTCCAGTAATCTCTTACTTAACTGTGATTGGTGGAATAAGAGGTAACATCATCAAATTTCAGCCAATAGGAAAACAGAGCAATCAATCAGCACAACACCCCAACTTATGTTTCGCTGTTGGATATTTATTCTCCTTTTCATTGTTCAGGTTGTGATAATACTGAAAATGCTATGGGCAGTGTGTATTTATTTAACGTCATATCTCCCAGACTTCAAATAGTGAAACGAGAATAAATATCCAACAGCAAAGCATAAGGTGGGGTGTTGTGCTGACTGCTTGCTCTGTTCTCCTATTGGCTGTAATTTGATGACGTTACATCTTACTCCACCAATCATGTTTAAGTAGGGGATTACTGGACGAATGAAAAATGTACGACAAAACTATGAAGTTATTGGGACGATGCTGCATGTGGATGGGTTTCTAGGGGCGCCATCGCCCATGGCAGAGACCCTGCCGTCCCTGGAAAGGCACCCACTATGAATAGGAGGGCCCATACCAGCGCCACCGACCCTAGGAGGGCCCATTGGGGCGCTGCAGCCCCTGGCAGGGTCATTTTGGGCAGAATTGCCCCATAGAGGGACCCTTGGGGAGACACCGCCTTTGGAAGGGCATCGAAAATGCGCCACTGCCGTGGTATGGCCCATGGTGGTGCCGCCGTCCCTGAGAACACCCCTGAAGGCGCCCCCGTGCGTGTAAGGGACCCTCGGATCGCCGCTATCCCTGTGGTGGGTCACTTGGCCATTAAAGGCACGGAGGCGCCCCCAGGACCCTCTCAGGGTCGGTGGTGCCCCCAGGGAACCTGTCAGAGGCGCTGGAGCCACCAGGGGCGGTCTTAGGAACAACTGTAATCCTAGGGGCCTTCTCAGGGATAGCAGCGTCGACAGGGGCTCCGCCAGGAACAGCCGAGCTTCCATGGGCCTCTCAGGGAGGCAACGCTCCATGGGAACTTCGCAGGGACGGCAACACGCCTAAGGACACTCACAGGGACGGCGGCGCCACCATGGGCCCTGTTAGGGGCGCTGGCGACCCTAGGGGCCCTCACAGAGACAGTCATGATCCCTGGGGCCTTTCCAGGGAGGGGGCGCCTCCAGGTACGTTCCTAGCTGCCACGGTGCTCCCAGAGGCCCTGCCAGCGGCTGTGGCGCCTTTGGGGGCCCTTCCAGAGGCGGTGGCTCCCCCCAGGCCTCTTTATGGGGCGCCTCTGCTCACAGGGACCCTGCAAAGACCTGTGGCTCACAATAGGTCCTCCTAGGGGAGTCAGCGCACCAAAACAATGGATAGTGGTGTCGTACATATTGCATTCTTCCAGTAATCTCTTACTTAACTGTGATTGGTGGAATAAGAGGTAACATCATCAAATTTCAGCCAATAGGAAAACAGAGGAATCAGTCAGCACAACACCCCATTTTATGTTTTGCTGTTGGATATTTATTCTCCTTTTCATTGTTCTGGTTGCGATAATACTGAAAATGCTATGGGCAGTGTCTATTTATTTATTTAATGTCACATCCCCCAGAGTTTAAATAGTGAAACGAGAATAAATATCCAACAGCAAAGCATAAGTTGGGGTGTTGTGCTGACTGATTACTCTGTTCTTCTATTGGCTGTAATTTGATGACGTCACATCTTACTCCACCAATCACGTTTAAGTTAGGGATTACTGGACGAATGCAAAATGTACGACAAAACTATGAAGTTCTTGGGGCGATGCTGCATGTGTAAGGGCCCATGGGGGCCGTCGCCCTTGTCAGAGACCCTGCCTCCCCTGGAAAGGCACCCACTGAGATTCGGAGGGCCCATAACAGCGCCGCCGGCCCTGGGAGGGCCCATAGGGGCGCCGCAGCCCCTGGCAGGCTCCTTGGGGGAAGAGGCGCCCCATAGAGGGACCCTGGGGGAGACACCGCCTCTGGAAGGCCTCTGAATGCGCCACCGCTGTGGTATGGCCCCTGGTGGTGCCGCCGTCCCTGAGAACACCCCTGAATGCGCCCCTGTCCCTGTAAGGGACCCTGGGATCGTTGCTATCCCTGTGGTGGGTCCCTTGGCCATGCAAGGCACGGAGGCTTCCCCAGGGCCCTCTCAGCGTCGACTGTGCCCCTAGGGGACCTATCAGGGGCGCTGGATCCATCAGGGGCGGTCTTAGGAACAACTGTACTCCTAGGGGCTTTCTCAGGGAAGGCGGCGTTGACAGGGGCTCCTCCAGGAACAGCAGAGCTTCCATGGGCCTATCAGGGACGGCAACACTCCAAGGGACCCTTGCAGGGACGGCAACGCTCCTAGAGACCCTCACAGGGACGGCGGCGCCCCCATGGGCCCTGCTAGAACCACTGGCGACCCTAGGGGCCCTCACACGGACAGCCATGATCCATGGGGCGCCTCCAGGTACAATCCTACGGACTGTGGTGCTCCCAGAGGCTCTGCCCTCGGCGATGGCGAATTCAGGGTACCTTCATGAGGCGGTGGCTCCACCCAAGCCTCTTTATGGGGCGCCACTGCTCCCAGGGACCCGGCCAAGGCCTATGGTTTACAATAGGTCCTCCTAGGGGAGGCGGCGCCCCAAAACAATGGAGGCGCCACTGTCCCTGGTAGGGGCCCGAGGAGAGCAGCTTTCCCGGTGAAATCCCTTGGGGGATCTAGCGCCCCTGACGGGACGCTTGAGGGCGCCACCTTCCCTGAGAGGGCCCCTGGGAGTGCCAATGTCCCTAGGAGAGCCTCTTGGATCGCTTCCATTCCTGAGAGGGTGCCTGGGATTGCAGCTGTCCCTGGAAAAGCCCTTGACAGGGCCCTGTTGGTGCTACCGTCCCTGAGAGGGCCCCTGAGAGCACTGCCGTCCCTGGGAAGGCCACTGGGGGCGCTGCCGTCCATGGGAGGGCCCCTTGGAACGTGGCTCTCACTGGAAAAGCCCCCGAGTCGCCAGCGCCCTTGTTAGGGTCCTTGGGGCGGTCTCTTCTAAGGGAAAGCTACTGGGGGCGCTGCAATCCCTGGGAGGGCACCCTAAAGTGCAGCTGTCCCTGGCAGGACCCCTGAGTGCACCGCCGCCATTTTGAAGGCCCCTGGGGGCGCCGTAGCCCCTGGGAGGGCCCTTGGGGGCGCCACCGTCCTTTGGAGGGCCCTTTGGGGCGCCACCGCCACTGGAAAATGCCCCTAGGGGCCTCACTGTACTGGGAAGGCCCCTAGGGGCCCCACTGTACCTGGGAAGGCCCCTAGGGGCGCCGCCGCTGTTGGTTGGGCCTCTTGGGTTGCCGCTGCCCATGGGTTGGCCTCTGGGAGCGCTGCAGCCCTTACAGGGCCCCTGGGGTCGCCACTGGTCTTGGAAGGGTCTTTGGGGGTGTTTCGGTTGAGCAGGGAATGGTAGTGCTCTTTCCAGTGCTGACAACTGCCTTCAACATCTTTAATTAGGGAGTTACCATTGGATGAGCAGAAGGGGCCATGCCATTAGTTGGACCATACATTGCTTAGTTGAATTGAAAAAGTCCCACATCTATATTGATCCACAAAATTCACACGCTTTAGTTTTCCACCATTCATCCTTTACATCACAAAAGAGTACGTCGATTTCCTGATTATTTTCATCAAGCCAATCTTTATGTGTTTATTTTTTTCGATCTGGCTGAGGATCTCACTGTAGGTTTTTGTGATGACAGTGTTCAGGATACCCCATTCGGCATTCAGACTTAGGTTTTTTGTTATTGGTTTGTTTATCAGCCCATCGTCGAGCTTCTCTCTGAAAGATATTTTACTGCGTGATCCTCTAGTCGCTTGGTGTTAAAACCTCTTCTGGAGGCTTTTGGCTTCGGCGTTTTGGGACGACATGAGGGGAGTTTGGCTCTGATGAGCCGATGACGTAACTGTATGTCAAAGTGGTCTGAGCCACGCATGGCTGAGATGATGAGAACATCTCGGCAATCTCTCTCTGACAACAATGTTGTCAATGAGATGCCAGTGTTTGGATCGTGGGTGTTGCCAAAAACCCTTCAACGCGTCGACCTGCCTAAACAAGGTGTTGGTGATAGGTTATGTTCAGCACACTTGCTGCGGTGGGATTACACTTACCCGGTACCAACTCCATTTCTCCCTATGGTTCCCTGCCATAAGTCAGCATCTATGCCAACTCTGGCATTGAAGTCACCTAAGAGCACAATCCAATCTTATCTTCTCTGGGAATAGAGGTTAACACTCTGTCAAGGTCGACGTAAAAAACATTCTTGATGTTATCCTCTGCATCCAGTGTTGGGCGCATGCACTGATGAAGAAAGCATGAAGTGAGTAATTCAGTGGGACCCGTTGACCCCAACAGGCATTTCAATTACCCTATGTAGGATGGATTGGCGAATGGCAAAACCAACTCCATAAATCCGGTTTCTCTCCACACCAAGCTTATCCTTTCAGGAGAAGGTATAGCATTACCCATTCTGTGAGATGACCTTCGTCTGGGAGCCAGGATTCACCAATGGCTGCTACGTCGATGTTGTACAGTCAATCAAAACACTATCTTTACAAAAAAATATCTTAAACAATATGACACAACGGATGAAGAATTTTGACAACCCTACCAAAACAACAGGTGTCGTAGTGTTCCTTCTAAAATTCATTGAACCCCCCAGTAAAGATACGTTTTCTTAGAAACTGTACCTGGACAGCTCTTTTGCCACAAGGGCGGTTCTTCCTAGCACTCTTATTTGTACCAGTATCCAGAAGGGTCCTGACATTCCATGAAGTGACCATAAGAGATTGTAGATTCGTTTTTGCTTTGATCTGTGATTGTGTTTTTGACCATATTAGGATGACCTTACTGGATGCGGTTGCCCAGTCAGTTTGGTTTTAAGCAGGTCATGTATAGGGCACCTTTTCTAGCCCCCTACCCATGTGGGGATGGAGGAAAAATCACCTTTCAGGGGACCCATGCTTGATGCAGTCATTTCACCAATAAAATTTTAAGTTCACAAGGTGTAATTCAAGATTATTTTATTTAAATCAACACTGCACTGTGCTATATATTGTCAATATGTTAAATATATTTCAGAATGACCAATAATTGTACTGTAAAAACATAAAAATACTCTCAAGAGACCCACAAGCAAGATGTTTCCTCCACTGAACAGACACCTATTCAGCTGCTGGGGTCTTACTGGAGCTCTGTAAGCATGTCTGCCTGATATGGAACTCCACCACAAACTGTTCATTCAGGGTTTACTCCTGTAGCCTTATACCTACTAAGGTTAACCTGCAAGGCAGTGGGGCAGTGGTTGGTAGGCGCCAGGGCATGTCCACATGCCAGTGGGCCTATGTGCCGTACCTCTGGGGCACACTGCTGCTCCGAGATCTTCTGCTGGTCTAGCCTGGGGCTGCAAGGCACCCAGTTACCGTTTGTTGCCACGAGGAGGCACAGCAGGAGTCTTGATGGTGAAGAGGCTGTGTACTGTCAGGGGAAGACTTACACAAGGCTGTTTCCCTGTTCGCCACGAGGGCTAGCCAGTGGCGGTAGCTAAAAGCGAGAAGCAGCAAGCAGTGCATGCACCTTAACACTAACCTAATGCTGCCACACTAGACGCATTACACCACCCTGTAGAGAGAAGTGCGTGCACACACACACACTATTCATTATCATTGTACTGTACTAGCATTACGGTACTGTATAAGGAATAGATAAACTTATAATGTATAACACTTTTATTAAATATATATTCCTAAGATATGTACAGAGTATATTGTTATTACATAGCATTAACGGTTTCACCGTACAGGGCTTGTGAACAGTGCAATAAGTTCAATGTGTGATAATAATACTGCCCTTGAGCTGAGGATTGACATTTATAAGTATATCAGCACATGACCTCACACAAACCAAACAAGTAGTAAGGCTTCTTTTTAAGTATATACTGTATATAAAAAAAGATAGGCAGACTATTACATGGTTAGAGATTACATAGACAGAGCAATTGGGGTCTTATTTGTGTTGTGGCTTGGCAGGCTGTATAATGTAGTGCTATACAGTATAAATAAATAATACCTGTACAGTCTTTATAACCAACTGTGTACAATGTGTTAAAACTTTGGATATATGAGTGGTATTTTTTCTTTAAGATGAGAATTCAGTTTATAGTACATGTACTGTACTGTACTGTATTATTAATTTGTTCCTTGTGATAATGGTGCAATATACTGTGTTTTAAAATTACAAGGTTGGTATACACTACCTGTATACCAAAATTAAAGATTTATAAAAATAAGTTCAGAATGAAAATCAATGCCTTTAATTATTCTGTATGATTCACTTTTATGAATTTTTAAAATAATTTTCATACTAAAGCTACAAAGGACATTTCCTACATACGCGGTTTAAGTATTTTTCCGGGTATTCTTAAAAAACATGAAAATTAATATTCTGAGTACCAGTATATCAGTTCAGAATATTTCATCTTAAGCAGAAGTCTAAAATGGGAAATGTATATGTTTTAGAGCTTCAAAATAAAATAAAATATAAAAATATTATGCTGGTTCTAACAAGGCATCGATATAAATATCTGCAGACCATAAGTTTCTCCAATATAGTACAGTATACAGTGGTCCCTCGGTTAACGAACACAATTAGTTCCAGAAGGTCGTTCGTTAACCGAATCTATTGTTTCAATGGGATATTGGGTAATTGGTTCCAGCTCACAGAAAAGTACATACAATGTAAAAAAAATGCAGTAAAGTACACTTACTTTGAGGTGTGTATGTAGAAGGCTCCTGGTTGATGATGATGATGGGAATTAGAAGTGGGGGTGGAGGAGAAGGGAGAAGAGAAGGAAGTGGGGATGGAGAAAAATCACCTTTCAGGGGACCCATGCTTGATGCAGTCATTTCACCAATAAAATTTTAAGTTCACTAGGTGTAATTCAAGATTATTTTATTTAAATCAACACTGCACTGTGCTATATATTGTCAGTATGTTAAATATATTTCAGAATGACCAATAATTGTACTGTAAAAACGTAAAAATACTCTGTGTTCAAGAGACCCACAAGCAAGATGTTTCCTCCACTGAACAGACACAAACTGATACCTTGGTGGGTGAGTGAAGTGGCTGATGGGTGCACCAAAAACTAGTTCCCTGTACTGCAATTATGTTAAATAAGTGTTAAAATAACTAATAATTTTAATATAAGACTTGGAAAAATATTGAATAACACAACCTTCTTGATATTTACTCCAATGGAAACGAATATAAGCCCTAGAACCGATTACTGTATTGGCGGACTAATCTTCCAGCTGGTGAGCAAGCCAAAACATGTTGACACGTTTTCGTAAGAATTTCGTTAACCGAATTTTTGTTCGTTAACCAAAATGAAGATTCTTATGGAAGGTAATTCGTAAACCAAAATTTCGATAACCGAGGCGTTCGTGAACTGAGGGACCACTGTATATAGATCTTATTAGCATCTTTCTGATTATACTAAAAAAAATAAAAATGAATGAATTTTGCTGATATATTACTTTGCTTTAAATGTACCGGGTAATTCAAACACCGTTCTTAACCCGTTCACTGTGGGGTCACCATTCTTAATATCTTACTTGGCTAATGCCAGACAATTTTATTCAGCAGAGAGGGGGACCCGTACACAAGGAGCTCACCATTTTTCTAAGGAGAGATCCCAGCTGGCACTAGTTGTCATTTCAACATTGAAAAGATGACTTCAGCATTGATTCAGCTTTAGAACAAAGATGTGTGCCAGCTGGGGTGGATGGATGTTAATATTAAAGAATAAAGAGCGCTGCTGGATACATAAACCATCGATTAACTGAGGGATATGGTGTAAAAACCTGACAATGTTATAGACAGCACATGATGAAGATAAAGCTATACTACCTGTATTTAAATTATGTTGGAGAGGAAGTGCACAAAATGACGAATGTTTCAGCTTGTGGTATGAAACATGAAAAGGGCATAAGAAAGTCTCTAAATGCAGGTACAGTATAGTATGTTGGGTGCAAGTAGAAACTTTAAATTAAGTAGTAAAACTATGTTATGTGAACACAGTATATAAGACAGGAAATATAATGAAAACTGAAAATGTTGCATATCGACTGTGTCAATAATCCTGCATCCTGTAGTAAATAAAAAAATATTGCATACTATAAATCAAATGAAGGTGCAAAAAATATAAACTGTACTGTACTGTAAAGTTAAAATGTTCAGTTATACTGTATATTGTACTGTATACACTATGAGGAACTATTCTGACAAACCAAAACAGTGGTATGGTAATGCTAAAATGCTAAGTGAGGACAATTACAATACAAAGTTGCCGTCATAAACAAAGTACGTATAAGCCACATAAGAAATATGCATCTTTTCTGCAATGTTATTTTTTTATTCTCAAAAGTATACTGTGCTGCACACTCATAATAATAGTTAATATTTGTTTTTATAATTTTCACCACTTCTCAGCTCATCAGCCATTCGGGTGGTTGGTCTATCCAGTGTAAGTACAATATGAAACCAGAGTCTGGGAAACCTATGCTGCTTGGAAGTGAGGGTCACATTGGATAACACCTTTCTCATGTGTGTCCAGGTCAAGTAGGACTCGAACCCTTGACTTGTTGGTGAGAGATACGCGTGTTAACACTGTACCACCAACTTTAACTATAAAATGTTTAATATTCTTTCTGGGTTTTTGGCTTCAAATTATTACTAAAATGTCAAGGGCTACAATAAAGAACAGGTATTGTACATTAAATTTTAAACTTTCAACTCAAATTCAGATGCTGGGTACATTTAGAGTCATCTAAAACAGTGGTTCTCAACCTTGTTTGCCCCATGCACCCCTTTCACCATATGTCAGAATGTCATTCCCCCCTCCTTTCCAAGATTGTCTGCCTCAAAAAGTGCATTCCAAATAATATGCATATAATACTGAAAATCCTTTATTTTTTCCATATTAGTATCAGTTTCCCCCCCCCTGAAAACCTGAGGGGGGAAATTCCCCCCTGGTTGAGAACCCCTGATCTAAAATATAAAATGACCTGAAAAGATGGAATACATCAAATGAGAATTGCTTGACTAAAGAAGCATATACCCCAAGTAGATAGCCTTGAGAAAAACATTTTACAATAATTTTCCAATACCTATAATGAGTGGCAGAAAGTAAATATTATTATCATTTCCTGTGGCATATGTATCTACAGTGACCTTTTATATTTGGCTAAATACAGTGGGGTATGCTATAACGAACGGATCCTACTACGAATATTCCTATAACGAATGGTTTTACCTATAAAATTGAGAATGCTATAATGAACGAAACTCCTACAACGAACATTATTATTATTATTATTATTTTTTTTTTTTTTTTTTTTTTACTAATTTATTGTTTCTGTATTACAAGTATTAATGATATTCTTTATTTCAGGGGTTTAGATGCATATTTATGCACTTTTTTATAATTTTTACAATTTTATATTATATTTTTCAGTGTTAAGTGGTTGTATTTGGGGGCCTGGAACGGATTAATCCTATAACGAACGAATGCTATGACGAACAAGGTTCTAGAACCAATTAGATTCGTTATAGCATACCCCACTGTATGATGTTTTGTACATACATTGTTGAATATTGTAGTATGACAAGAAGAAATTTCCCTAAATATTCCTTTTTACTTTCCAGAACTTCTAATGTTAAGTATTCAGGTACAACACAAAGATCCATACATTGAGTAAATTTGTGTTGATTTGTAAATAATTTAAATAAATATACTGTGCTGTATGTAATACATAAACTGAAGTGAGGGTTTCTTCGGCTAATAATAATCATATAAAAAAACAGTGCAAACAATATGTCTATGATAAATGTCTGCAAACTTTCCTTTTTAGCTATGGTATACAATAGGATCTAGCCAGAGGCATGCGCAATATAATAAATTTGTGTACTTAACACCCAAATTTTTTTTATTGTATAAAAGGATGCCTGACATGAATATTACTGCTCCTCTTTTATTATTAATTAGAGAATAAAATATATGAATATAACTAAAAACCTTTTAGTTGTGTAACTACGAGATATAATTAATCTACCAAGGCCCAATAGTCATATCCAGGAGGATAATGTCTTTAAAAGACATATGTAGTCTTTAATTCCAGTAACTAATGAAGATCATATTTCCAAAAGAAATGACTCAAACCTAATAGAGACCAGTCACTTAAAATATTGAAAAGCAAACAGCACACTGCCACATTTGATATAATAACTGCACACTACAATGGATTTGCCAGGTTGGTCATCTTTGATAATGTATTCAATGGCATGTGTAGTATTGACCCCAATTGTCTCAATCCTTACAGAACATATTTCAACTCGATTAAGTTCTTGATTAGAAATTTGCTTGGTAACCAAACTTAATGGTAACTAGAATTTTTTTTTACTAGGCTGTTGTCATTCTTGATGTAGATGTTCACAAATAATTGTATGGTCTTGAATAGTGAGATAAAGTTTATATAATTCACTCCTTTGTATAATTTAAACAACTGTTTGATATAACCAGTAAATTATGAGTGTGCTGGAATTTAGAAACTACTGTACTTTAGTTCTGCTTGCTCATCATAAGCACTACTGGTGTCTAGTTAGCTTGGAATAACAGAAATTTCACTGCCATCATCATTAGACAAATCTCCAATTCAGCTAGAGAAAAGTTATCCCAGGCAGATTCAGTCACACTCTTAAGCAATAGTTACAAGTACACTCGCTCCAAAACGTGTCTTTGCAAAGGGGTCCGATGAATTTCAAAATGAACACCGTGACTCCTGTTGTCTTGATAGGGTTGTCATAATCCTTTGTCTGTTGTGTCATATTGTCTCACACAAAATAGTAAAGATACTTTTTGGAGCGAGTGTTGAGTACAATCTTGTTTTACTGCAAATTTCAACCAAACTTAATCAAGAACAGTTCGAGGCAGAAATATGTCAATCGGTACAAAATACATCGTGTACAAATAAAGTGTCATGGAGTTTGGGAAAGAGAATGGGTTGAGCTACATTAGGTCAGCATCAAGGCATATGTACATTTAACAACATACAATTCAACATGGTTTGATTTTCAGTACAATCCTACCAAGTTCAAAGAGGCAAATAAAAAAAAAATCTATTGAAGATCTGCAAACTTCTGAGAACTTGAGAGTAGTAGAGAACCCATTTGTGAGATTACTGGATGAAAATTAGTACTGTACCTGTATTTCTTTGAGATTATATTCATGAATTGTCTGCTCTGTAGTTGTAGGAAAATTCATTGTCTTGTAGTATGAGACTTTTACAAGAATTAACTGTGATGAAAAAAATACAACCACAAGCAAAGGGCAATAATATCATAACACTATATATCGCGTTCGTGCATCCTTTAACATCATGAACTATAAAATCTATAAATGACTAAAGTACATTGTTATCATTGTGCATGGTTGATTTAAAAATTTATAAGCTACTCACTGTTTATAAAAGCCATTACATTCTTCCCTGACACTCAAACAAGTCACTCAGCACGGTAGACCTGCTGACGTGTCTGACATCGCCTAACAGGACGATAATGACTAGTAAACTAGGTCACAGTCTAAAAACTCAGGTTAATTAGGTCTATCTCAAATTTCCTATGAAGCTGTAATGTATCATAATATTTGGTCAGAGCTTCTCGGTATTAACTTCTTGAAATCCAATAAGAAATTGATATGGTATCTTATACCTTACTTCCTATTATAGTGGACAACCTAGGATGGAATATCATTTGAGTAGATGCAAGAACATAAGAGATATCATATTAAACAGTGACTTAATCCTTACATCTTATAATACTGTTATACCATACAAGTATTGGTATAAATGTTGAATGGTCAAATTCACAATCCTTTCTTTATTGTATTTATGAAATTCCATATACTGTACTATACTGTATTTGAATGTTTTTCTTTAGTAGTAGAGAGATACTAAAGTTGAAGTATGGTACAAATATTGACAGTCTCTAATAAGAAAGACATCAAGAGTATTTTTCTAATGATATGGTATTCTAGGTACAGTAATATGTAAATAAATACCATTCAGGGTGGGCTACAATAACAGGGTAAAATAAAATAAAAATACAACATAGTATTTGGTCTTAGGGCACTTGTTTGACAACTTCTACATTAGAAAGTAACGTACTGTACACATGAGTCATCATTAACATTTTTTGGAGTATTCAAAACTGGATAAATGGCTACAGTGATATTTCAGTAGATACATAAAATTAAAAAAGGTAAAAGAGATGAGAACGTAAAAGTCTAACAGAACTTAATTCAACAGGTGTAAAGTAAGACTTAAAAGTGGTAATAGATGTTGGTTGAAGGTTCTCATAAAATACACATTTTTGTAGGGAATCATTCACAGTCTCAGACTTGAACACCATTATCACAATTTACTTCTGTTACAGAAACTAATGAAGGAAGACACATCACAAATGTACAAATAATAATAGAGGTTTTACCAATATGAAATTTAGAACGTAGGCATTTAAAAAATGGCTACATATGCATAATTCTTATAATGGGCAATATAAAAGTACTAACTACGTTTAAACATTAAGGCCACCCTATGACAAGGCATTATGTCCTTGTTTGTGACATTAAGAAGCATATCTAGCTTACTCTCCTTATTAGTGATTCATCACGGAACCATTTCTTTGTTTTTCTAATCTGTGAATGCTAGTCACCATTAAATGCCTCTTGAAATGGACTTTCATGACTAGAATAATTTTTTTTTCGTCATGAATAGAAAATGAAAACCTCATTTACCATGTAGAGCACTCTGGTAACTTCACTGGAAAATAAGCCATTTTCAGTGTTCACTAACAGTGTTGATAATTAACCATCACTTGTAATCCTCTGGTACAGTATACCTGTACCACCTTTCTAAGCAACAACAATAACTTTGATTTATGAGTTTTCCTACATTTCCTAATGTCACCATCTTGAAGTCATCTATTATATATAATTTCCCTTTTTCTAATGTTATTCTTATATCAAGACATACGGCTTGCACGTATTCATAGTTTCTCACATGTAAAGTAATGCAAGTTATGTTCATCACTCAACAATTGCCCATAATGAAAGGCAGTCCATATCAAGTAATGACTGAAGACAAGACCACTGTTTCAAAATCAAAGTGGCACAGAGATGCCCAGTATTTTATCACATGAGTAAGTATCTAGTATTGCAACAGCACCATACTTCTTCCTTCATATACACCAATCCTCTCGCCTATCCATAACCTAAATGTTAATGACCTCACACCTGCCAGGTAATAATGTCAGCTCCATTACACTTTTCAAGTATCCAATATAATTATTATACCTTTGAGAAAAACTAAAATTGTGCAACTTTGAAAATTTAAAAAATAATATTATTACTGTCTAGTTATTGCATTAATGACCTAATGCTTACCAAGATTTTTGCATTCTTGATGATGCACCTGTCAGGTAGTCAGGTAAATATGGGCACAATTAACAAATAGTGAATTATTATAAAAGATCACTATTGAAAATAAAAGGTCCAGTAAAAAATCTCTTAACCACAGCAAATGAAGCCACAAGTTTTACATACAGTACTGTATTTACAGAAGCGTTTTGATACTTGAGTGAATTGACATTACCATACCTGTACAGAATAGGTTTATATCTCATTAGTCTATGATTAAAGATTATAGTACTGTACAAAGATTTCACTGCAATGTTGAGAGCTTTAGGGTACAATACAACTGATATTTTACTTACGGAACATTATCATGATATTTTGTAAATGGCTAGTACAGGTATTTTGATCATAATGGTTCTGCTAGTCTGTGAACATTGGTCATTTCATATTCAACTGCAATAAGTCTACACTGTAACTAACCCACAGCTGATTCTCTTAACTCACAAATTCAGAATCCCAGGTATTATTGTTTTTGGGGGTCAAGAAAGTTTTTACTGTACTGTACTTACAGGTATATTCACCTTATAGAAAATAATGCTTTCTGATACACTGTAATATACTTTATGGTTAGCTGCTAAGCAGTATGGCAACCTCTCTGATGAGAAAGAGTCATTTAGTCTACATCCTTGGACTCAATACTCTACATTTCTCTGCCAAGGTCTGAGATCATTTCCCAGTTTCCCAAGGTCATCCCTTATTCTTTACATATCTTAAAATTACTACAGTACAGTACTGTATTTTAGAGAAGGGAAACTATCTTCTTACAAATAAAAAATAAAAGTACAAATTTGTGACACCATCTATTTCAAAGATGTTATTTATAGATCATGAAATTTCAATGGTAACATTCTAAACCACAAAACAAATGTGATATAAAAACCAACTTAAAATTTCATTGCACATTATTTTAGGAACTGAGGAAACTCAAGCTCACATTATGACTCACATACTTTTAGGGCTACTTTCACAAAGCATTCTTGGAATGGAGTCACACATCACTGATAACCTATACAGGTATTCCTCGACTTACGACCTACTCGACTTACGACCACCTGGACATACGATTGCCGCAGTCGTATAAAATATTCTTAAAATTACGTATTTTCGAGTCCCGACGTTAGTGATCGCGCTGTGTACTGCCAAAATTTTCGTTTGTAATTCCCTTTAAAATGGCTGGCAAGTGTAAAAGTGAGAGTTCTCGTGGTGCCGAGAAGAACATGAGACACCCATTTTAGATTTTCTATGTATTATTTTCGCATTTTCGACTTACGACCAATTCGACTTACGACCTGGTCGTCGGTCCCTAACCCCGTCGTAAGTCGAGGACTGACTTACAATGTCTGTAAAAATGTCTCCTTTCTTTACTTGTTCAATTATTTTGTAATTTCTCCTGAATAAATAGAAATTTGCACTTCAGAAAGTACATTCATGTTTCATTAATGCTATAAAAAATATGATAACTGCAAAATAACATCCATTGAAAAATACTCAAATAATTAAATGACAAAACACCAATTTTTGCCATAGTATATCTTAACAGTATATTTAAAATTTCATATACTATAACATATTCAATTTTGATAAACCTTGAATAGCAGAAAACTGCCTCGTCCAGGTACTACAAAATCTGTTTAAATTTGTTCACGAATACAGTTAATAATGCAATTAAAAGATTGATGACAAAGAGCATAGAGCAGATATATCTAATTAATCAAAATACATGTAGTATTGTCTTACACATAAAATGTGAAAATTCCTTCAGTGATATGCTCCACCATCATGGCACACGTATTTATTTTAAAGATATGCTCACTACAGTACTGAGCATTAATGAGAGAAAAGCATCAATGTTATTTTCCAGAAAGTGTTCTGACAAAAAGCAATCTATGAACATTCATACTTAGAAAAAATAACACCCTCATCTTAGAGGCACATTACACAAAAATTTGACTTGATCCACAAACATGACCTGAGGATACTTAAGTATGGAAAGGATCTAGTTCTATGTCGTAGCGACAGGTACAGTCAGGATGTGCTGTAATTCTTGGCTTCTTCCTTACTCACATCAGCTTCTTTTGTAATAATATATATATATATATATATAAATCCTAATTTCTGAGATACTTGGTTACCTATGTCTTCATATACAATAGTTCATTCTCCCTTTCTTCATCAGAGTCTTCCTCCATGAACGGTGTTAGAGTTAGGGAGACTCGCTCTGACATGTTCTCTGGCTTTAGGAATCTATATGAATAATTTCTGGCCCAACATAGAGAGCCCGTTGATCTTGCCTGCAAGGGTAAAGAAAACAGATTTCATGTTACTGTGAAATATGAAAAAAAAAATTAAAATAGAGAAAGATTACACAACAAATTTAACTAATTTCATCTTCGACAACAGAAAAAATATTACACTCTATTTTACTTCCTTACTTCACTTGCTGTTCCACGTGCAGGTATATTCCACATAATAACAAATACAAATGTACACTCGCTCCAAAAAGTATCTTTACAATTTTGTGTGAGACATTACAGATAGCACAACGGATGAAGGATTTTGACACCCTTATTGAGACAACAGGAGGCGTAGTGCACATAAGCTTCAGATTAAAATAAAAATCCCATATTTATGTTAGTACATAAACGGCAGTTTTATGGAATGAAAGTGACTGGCTGGTAAAATACAAATTTGTTGCTTTGTACAGTTTCAATATTGGCTGGTATGTATGAAATTCCTAAGCATAATTTGGTAAAATTATTCTTCAAAACTGTACTTAAGGTTTTGATAATGATTTGTGTAACTCAATGGCATAGTACAGTACTCCTAACTTGGAGTACTGCTATCATATCTGGGGTGGCTCTTCTTCTGTCCAACTGTTAAGATAGGATGCAATCAAAAGCATTTTGGCTTATTAACTCTCCTTCTTTAGTTGATAATCTCTCTTCCCTTTCTCTTCACCACAATGTTGCTTCACTCTCTCTTTTACAGGTACAGGTTGACAACTCTTATCCGAAATTCCGAAAACCGAAAAGCTCTGAAAACCGAATTTTTTTTTTTTTTTTAACAGGGATTAGCCCATCGGGGCCTGGGGGGCGAAAATGTAATAGTAATAATAATTATAATAATAATTATTCATAGTAAATAAAAAATTTAATACAAAATACACCCAAATAAAATAATAATGATAACAATAATAATAATAATAAAATATAATAATAAAATATAATAATAATAACAATAATACTGTAATAATAAAATAATAATTAAGAAATACAAGAATGAAAAAAAGATAAAAAGTGAGAAACACGACCTAGACCTAAGAATTATTATTATTATTATTATTATTATTATTATTATTATTATTATTATTATTATTATTATTATTATTATACTTTCGCCCCCCAGGCCCAAATGTGGGTCAGTGACTTGTGCCCAGGTGGGCTAATACACACATAAAAAAAAAACTAACCATTCTGTAAACCAAAAAATTCCGAATTCCGAAATGCCTCTGGCCCCAAGGATTTCGGATAAGGGATTGTCAACCTGTACTTTAATGGGCGATGTTCGGTGGACTTGGCATCCTGTGTACCGCTGGCAGGGCAGTGGGCTCGTAACACTCATATTGCCCGCGGTGCCCACCGTTTCTGTGTGAATGTTGGTCACACTACAATAACCCATTATAGTACATCCTTCTTTCCTCACACAGCCAAAGTGTGAAATGTTCTGCTTTCTTCTGTGTTTCCTTCCTCTTACAATTTGTCTCACTTCAAAAAGATGGTTTTTAGCATCTTTATGGTGTAGATTAAGATAGTTTTTTCTCCTCTAATTTGTATTTATTTATTTTTTACTCTTGCTTTTTTGCCCCCCAGGCCCCATTGTGGGCCAATAACCCATGCCCAGGTCGGCTATTCTCCGTAAAAAAACAACAACAAAAAACAGCAAACACATGGATTAAATTATCAAATGGTAACACAATATCAATTGCACTCAAATATAAACAAGGTTGTGAGCAAGTCTCTTCTCAGTATGACAGTAAAGTCCAAGGGACCATTACTTTGGCCATTATCATCATCATTTTATGACCATTATCCACACTTGCGTAGGTTAGCTGCAGTTTTCTGATGGCAGCTCTCCATGCTGCACAGCCTTTTTGCAGTTTCTCTTGTCAGGTTCATAATTATAATGCCATTTCTTACAACCTCTCCTCATGTCATTCTTGACCTAACCCTGCACTCCTCCCCTCCACACTCCACACTTAGGTTAATGCACCTCTTGATCCAATTGCTGATTATTAAATTCATCTGAAATCTTACAGTTTAACACCTACATACAATGTTTGGCTAAAATCCTATGCTGGATATATGGATGACATTCGATCCCATGTTCTCTTGTGACTATGGCAAATATCAAGAAAGAATTTTTAGCTTCAACCTTCTATCAAAATTGGTAAATTATATAATAAAGACAATCCTATCACTGTACTGTTTTGAAGTCCAGGTCTTAAACAGAAACATTTGAATATTTGTTTGCCTTCAACACTAGACCAATGGCACAGTATCGTGTAGCTTTACAGAATTTGCTCACTGTTTTAGGTTTGTTATTTAACCCCTTCACTATAGGATGCAACTTATAATATTTTATTTGGCTAATGCCAGACGATTTTATTCAGCTTAGAGGGGAGCCTGTACACAAGGAGTTAATGTTCTTCAGCAGCTATTTATTTTTTGACATCTTTTCTTCCTATGAATGGTGGACCACAGTCACTACCAACAATTATTTTTCCCTTTAAGGTTCTTGAGTTCTGTCACTTCAACATTCATTTTGTAAACCAAATTGCTGTTGCCAAACTCTCATACAAAGCTGATTTTCCTCCAAATTGCAAATCCAGTATTGTATGGAATCAAATAAAGTGCTCATTTTGCTAGAACAATCTTGATGAATTATAAATTTCTGTTACTCAATACACTATACAAAAATAGCAGAAACCTAAATATTTTTTTTTTACTGAGCCCTGACACGATACCCCTGTGCAAACAAGTACTGTAATTCCATTAATTATTCATTTCTTTCACTCACAAATACTTCACGACTAAAAGATAGGGCCACAGGAATCAAGAGAGGTATGCATGATGGCTTGTACTCTCAATACTCTCACACTGATTTGATGGACTGTATCATATGTTGGAACAAATTAAAACAATCAGAGAGACGACAAACAACGGTGACTTACCTGGAGTACGGTGAACACTGCACCAAATATTACAATATTGACAAAACAAATAACAGCAACAAGTGATGTGACAGATGAGAAGTAAGATCCTCTATGTGGAGTGTGATGTGAACCAGAGTCCAAGCTCAGGGCTATTCTTCGCTTATCTGCTGATACTGCGCCGTGACACTGACCTGATGACACAGAATAGAAACTGTATCTAATATGCATGGAGTTCATTGCACTTCATTCATACAACATCTGACAATCATCACATCTTTAAAAGCCTTACAAAACATCTATAACATTGCACTGCTTCTTTACCATCGCTCCAAAAATTCTCTGGTACACCTAAATATCTCTAGAAATTGCATCCCAAATATCTCCTTAACAGTGGTGCAGGTTTATATTTTCAGCAGGTCTCCAACACTTCCCTAACACTCATTAAAACTTTCAAGGTTTTGAGGATTTCTATAACTCATCTCCAGTATTCTTTCATCACTCATACTGTACTGCATTATAACCATCGCAAACGATCCAATATATCTCAAGCACTGCTCTCATCACACACCCAATATTGCATTTCATTAATTTCCTCACATCTTCAGTCCTCCAAAACTGACTTTAAGATTGCTTAATAATTATCCAGCACTTTAAAAATGTTAAATAATTTTGTGTATTTTCTTGTATTAACACCACAAGAGTTTTCCACTATTTACATTTATATAATTGTGTTTGTAATATATTATTTAAAAATATAAAACCAGTTAATACAGTACAAAATATTTTTGCCCTTAACCCATTCACTACTGGGATGTCACTTTTACTATTTTATTTGGGTAATGCCAGGCAACTTTATTCAGCACAGAAAGACCCCTCGTACCTAAGGGGTTAATACAACAGAAAGGAAAGATCAACATGTGTAAGAGACATAAGATATACACACCAGTAACAGGATCACAAGCGCAGCAGAGTTGTTCGTGCTCCTCTTCTGTCACACCAGGAGGACAACAAGTCCGGCAGGTGCTAGTGGCAGGATGGAGAGACAAAGGTGCCTGGCAAGATGTGCACCCATTTTCTCCACTAGATGAACAAGTCAGGCATGAGTCACTGCAGGATTCACACGCCTGGGAACTGAGGTTATAGTACCGGCCTGACCGACACTCAATACACATTCCACCATCAAGAGTGAGATAATCATGGCAGGAAGTGCAATCATTAAGACCTGAGCCTGAAACACATAAAGAAAGTGGTTGATAGTCAATGGGTTTAGAACAGGGGGGTCCACAACCTTTATACACTAATTGGCCACTTAATGGTGCAAGTAATCAGCGATCGGCAGCAGGTGTACTAAGCCAACATAAGTCAACAATGCGTTCCACAGAATTGAATGTAAAATCAGAAATGCAGGACTATATTTTATTGTAAGTTGTTATAAGCAACACCAATATTTAAGACTAATGGATATCAATTCACTAGAGTCGGTGCAGCGAGGAATGACTATAGACATAATTTAGGTGACTGCAGCCAATGCCAATAAGTGATATAATTTTATGCTGAGGCATCTAAATCTGTATGGTATTCCCACAATTTGTTTTTGGCCAGCCACCACTAGTAAACACCCTGTTTCCCTCCAGAAGCCTGAGTAGTTATTTTTAAGTAAGTTTGGAAAATAGAAAGAAATTATCACAAGTACAACACCTGTAAAGGTAAAATAAAGTAAAGTAAATAAATGTTAGGAAACATTGCTGCCTACAAACACCCAAATATCAGCCACTGCTGACCACCAACATCTAAACTTTACTCAACAAAAGAGGGCTCCCTGCCCATTATTGTACATACCCTGTAGAAGAAAATATCCACTACACAAGTTGTAAGGCAATTAAAGACTTTTCCCCCATATTCTGTTATGCCACATGCTTTTCTACAATTTTATAAGAAAATGGCAACAGTGGGGTCTGGCCATTATTGTACGTTATTATATTGGACTGCAGGTGAAGAAAACATCTACTACACGAGTTATAAGACGGTAGCAAGAACAATCTAAATTACCATTATTTTGACAAAATAGATAGGAACTTTATTGACACCCTGTAACTGTATTTCTACTACATTCATCACATTTTCATGTAAAACTTACTGCTTAACCCTTTCACTGCTGGGACTCCATTTTTACTCCCGTTTTTTAGTTGGTTAACACCAGATGATATTATTCAGCTCAGAGGGATCCTGATACCCAAGGGATTAAATATCTTGTGATAGATAGGCATCAGATTTTTTTGTAAGGGACTGTGCATCTGTTACAATAATATAATAAAAAGATTGATATTGAATTGAATTGAAACAGTTTATTTAGCCTGAAAAACACAGATACAAAGTGGATAACAATAACAATATTAACATGGCTGAGCCAGTTGAGAGCCTGAGCTGTCTTGTAGGCACCTGATATATACTGTACATTTAACTCAAGGAAGTACTTATGTAACATTTAGCATCATCTGGAATAGTACCGTACATAAAACATGGTGTTAGCAAGAACTTATTAGATTGGTTACCACGATTATCAGTTTATCACTTTGTTATTTATTGATTGATTGATTTTTTTTTATTTTACCTTTTTTTACATTTATATTATAAGTACAGTACATACATATTTTACAATGGAGTTGAGATATATTAATATGATAAGTGAGGGAAACAATACAACATGGGTAGTATTATGGTGAAACAAGAGGACAGAAACAGTCAGGATCATGTTTTGACGGCAAATATATAATTACAGTATTGCAATGCTAATTTCTACTTACTACTTTGCTGTCACTCGGTATTGCGTAAGACTATCTATCCACGTGTCAATATATGATATAATAGTTTTGGTGGTATAATAAAAGTAAGAGGATAAAGTAAGTGTTACAAAAATATTAATAAAGATGATTTAAAGGAAAGGAGCGTAGTCTTTGCGCGGATGGGTGGGGGTAAGTTGTTCCACATCTTCAAACCATGATATTTTATGGAGGTCTGGGACTGAGAGGAGCGCATGGGGGTGGTCTTAGTAGCTCTTGGTGCCTTAAATTATGTATCTCTGATTATTCCGGAAATGGAAATGATTATTGTCAATCAAGTGATCAAAAGATTCATAAATAAATAGGGCACAGCAGTAGATGTTAGTATCATCGAATTTTAACAGTTTCAGTTTAGCAAATTGTTCGTTAGTGTGATCATTTTTTTAAATATAGGTCATTTTACGCACAACTCAATTCTGTGCAGTGATCAGAGGTTGTATTTTTGTGGAGCCAGAGGAAGTGTAGTCATTTAACAGTCAGTTCACAGAGTCTTTTGAGTGGCACGGCTTCCTTTCCATGCTACTAACACTATGTCACTCTCACATGGGAGAGCCGGACAATACCAAATAAATGCTCACTGAGCCATAATAATTCGGCAATACTGGACACTTAATAATACCCAAATTCTAAAAGTGTAGATAAATAAATAATTAAAGTTTAATGTAATGTGTAAAATTTTTGGCAGATGGAGCTGGTGAGGCGTCTCGCTCTAAAATTATTTGTAAGGAGGGTTCAATAAATTTCAAAATGAACACTACAACTCCTGTTGTCTCGGTAGGGTTGTCAAAACCCTTCGTCCATCGTGTCATTGTCTCACACAAAATCATAAAGATACTTTTTGAACAACTGTACACTACATGCTGATCATCTGTATTTCTTGACTTATTTATTTGGGAAAGACTTATTCAATCACTGACAAAAAAAAAGATGTAAAGGAGGAAAATTCTTAGTAGAGTAGTACTGTACTAACCTTTGCAAGTATGGCAATTATGGTAACATGGAAGGCATTCACTCCCCTCTGGATAATGAGAAGGTGGACATGTGCTGTGGCAAGATGAGTTAAGTAAGAAGGAATTATTAAAGCAGGAGGCACACTGGTCACTTCTGGGGCCATAACACGTCTTACAGCCTCCTTCACAGGGTGAGCAGATGCCTCGGTCACTGTAGTACCTGCGAGACAAACGGATATATTTCTTTACTCTTATACTTTATACATAAAGATATTTACATTCTTAAACAGTGTATTCATGAGAAACACATACTGTATATTCATTAAATAATCTTCACCCCAGCATATCTTACCTGAAGATTAACCACTACCTAATCTAATGTCATCCCATCTACTGTATAGTACTGGTACTAAAAAAAAAAAGGTATAAATTTTACTGTATTTGCCTAATTTGCATTAAGTTATAGCAATAACGACAAAAAGTAACCCCAGTTTGATAACAATGAAAAGTATAATAATGTCCTTCACAAAATAAGGTCCTTCAACTGCACACTTACCCCGGGGGACATGCAACAACACACTGGTTGTTGTGAAGATAAAAGTGTAGGGAGCATGTACTGCATGATGTATATGAGGTACAAGTACTACACCCATGAGGGCACGGTAAACACCTGCCTCGTAGAGCAAAATATCCAACAGGACACGCTTCAATGCATTTAGAATCAAATAAAAAGAGATTGGGAGCACAGTGAAGACAGTGTGTGTTGCTGGGTCCAATACAAGAGAGGCAAGAAGAATGGCAATCTTGACATACACCATTCTGAGTTGAATATTCACCTGGAAAAGATATTGACATCAATTTACTTAATATATACATTTCATAGGTTGTAACAGTGCAGAATTATGTAGCATCACATGTAATTTACTCTTGTAACATTTCTATTTGAATTAGAATTAATAGTCTATCAAAATATACTTTCTAATTTCAGTTTTAAAGGTTGAAGCTTAATACAGTATAAATAATTATGGCAGTGCAGATAACATATCTGAGCTTCAAACTTTAGTAATGAAAATTCTAATAAAGCAACTTTCACTTTTCACCTATTAAATTAAATTTCTTAGTAAGAAAAATATGTAAAATTCTGATTTTATATTAATTTTTTTTTATTTATTTTGTGGAATTTTAACCATTACTGTAAACTCCTTTATGTCTTTGCTATTAACAGGCAAAGTGACTGTACACCGTTACTTACTGATATGGCAGCGACTCGGGCGGGCCACACAACGACCTCCTTTGATTCGCCAGCCATCAATACAGGAGGTGCATATTTCCCCGTTGCATGAAGCACACCCAGTAGGACACACTAAACATTCACGGGTAACCTGCCCACCATAAGTACCTGAAAGAGACCACAGATGAATAATTCCCTGTAAGATCTCCTTCACCATCTTGCTGTCTTAAAACCTTATTCTGGGATGATAATATACTCCTGAATAGTTGATGAGATTTTTAAAATACAATACTATACCTCACAAACAGTAATGGTAAGAATGAATATTAATCCCTTGAGGATGGTGATGGGGACTAGCGATCACTACCAACTGGATGGATGAATATTGAGGCGAGAAACAAAAATATTTGAATCTTACCATAAACTCTTGACTCATGCCATCAAAGTTCAGAGGTTGGTTAGTAAACAAAGAATTACTCCAATCCCATGTCTCATGTGGGGGTCACATCGAAGCTACCCCTCTATCGCCAGCATATTCCTCATCCTCGTCACTCAAATTCCTCTAAGATTCGCTTGTCAATTCACCATTTTCACTTTTATGACTGTCACTATGCATGGGAGCGTCACCCTTGTCTCCCAAATCAAATATAATGGCATCAATTTCCTCCTGTGTTGGGCACCACACATGAGCTGGAGCAGCATGTCTTGACTTAACAAATACTTTATGGGCAAAAGGCTTACACTGCCTCGGGGCAATTGCCAGAAAGCTCCACAAGGATACTCAGCAAAAATTTGGGCAATTTAAAATGGGGGCACAAAAAATATAACACAGCAGCTGTGGGATATGACTAGTGAGCTGGGACCCTCCATACTGCACTTGTCATGGCATATGTTGGCAAAGGGTCAAATGCAGATGATTTTGATTGCAAATAGTATTACTAACTAGAAATATGTTTAAGGAATGACCCTTACCCCAGATACCTAGTTTTCTTGGGTCCTAATCACCATTTAGCATCACACAATGGTCACTAAAACTCTCACATACTGTACCCTAAAGGAATATAATTTTCTCTTTTCTTCTCTTCAGCTCCCCAGAGTCAGAAGGAGTACTGTACTGCACTGCTATAACTCAAGTCATCAATGTGCTTCTGTGTCCATTCTTGCTTCTCACCTTATTGGTCCATTTGACTCATCTTATATACAATAAATGTAAATAACCGGAGAAAATTTACCAATAATAATTTCTGAATCCCCATAGTGCACAGATAAGCCGTTTCAAGGTGAATTCTGCAGCAAGTAGGTCTCCATAGTCTCTATGTTGTGCATAATTTCTTACCCCTCCACATCTGCATGTTGCTCAAAACTATTTTTACCTAAGAATGTTTTCCCTTATATAAATTTAATCTGTGTTCTACTTCTTCCGTTTGGGAATATGAATATACAGGATTGGGTTTGAGATTAACAAATAGGAGTACAGTTAAAGTTTGAGATGTAAATGGAAGCATGAAGATGGGAGAGAAAGGTGGGCGAACAAAGTGAAAGAGTATGAGGGTGGGGTAGAGAGTACAAGACCTGCCTTCATTGAACAGTAGAGTACTGTACATACAAAAGTAAATTATTTTCTAGTGCAAGCAAGTGATAATGATTTTTTTGTTTTGTTTTCTAGAAACTAAGAACATAAGAACATAAGAATGGAGGAAACTGCAGCAGGCCCATTGGCCCATGCTGGGCAATCCCATTTACACCCAACCCCCATTGCTCATACATCCATCCAACCTATGTTTGAAGCTATCCAGTGTTTTCGAGTTAATGATGATGTTTGGTAACTTGTTCCACTCATCCACTACTCTATTTCCAAACCAATGTTTACCTATTTTGTGCCTAAGTCTAAATTTGTCTAATTTAATACCATTGCTACGAGTTCAATCCTGGTTGGATAGTTTGAGTACCTTTGTTATATCACCCTGACTTCCATTTATACACCTCGATCATATAGCCCCTCACTCTACGTCTCTCGAGGGAGTTCTCCTCTGAATTCTTTCTAGGGATTCTACATCCATTCTGTAGTACGGTGACCAGAATTAAACTGCGCAATCCAAGTGAGGTCTCACACATGCAAGATATAGTTTTAGGATGACCTCGCTAGTCTAATAACTAACACTCCTTTGTATGAACCCAAGTACTTTGTTAGCCTTGTTTTGAGCAAATACACATTGTTTACTTGGTTTAAGATCCCTACTTATCATTACTCCTAAATCTTTCTCGCAATCGGATTTCTCTAAATCATCTTTGTTCATCTGGTATCTGGTATCTCTGTTTACTTCTCCTACACTAAGTACTTTACATTTGTCCACATTAAATTTCATCTGGTGTAAGTATTTGTCAACACAAGCTGATTTCGTTTTAAGGAATTAAACATTCGCTGCTATTGATATTATGCAAAAACATTATGTAGTGGACATTATAATAAGATTACTGGGACGTGGAGATTACAAGAAAGCTCTGATATGGCGGGCATGACGTATGAGTATTGTGAGTATGGGCCAATAGGCTTGCCGCAGCCTCCTATATTCTTATGTTCCTATGTAAGTGAACTTAAGATAACTGTGTCGTCAAGGCTACAGAGACACTTGAGGTTATCAAATAATATTTCTAATAATTCCACTTGGACCGTACTTCATTTGTTTAAAACTCTCTTCAGGCAGTGATTTAGGGTTCGTTTAAATTACATAATAATGGAACAATCAGAAAAGTTTTGCAGAGCTCACACTATCCAGTGTTGCCCAAGACCACAAGAAAGCCTAGTGAATATAACCACCCGGTAGGTAGTAGGCAGCTACTGTAGTGGATTCCCCCCCTACAAACGCTTGTCGCTGAGTAGCCAACCCTGCGAATTCTCCAGTGTATGCCTCATTGTCTAGGTCAACCAGCGCCGCCTTACATGACGGAGGTCAACTATTAAGCCACGCCTACCTCCGCTATATAAGACCTGACCTCATGGTGACCTACCTCTCTTTCTACCTACACCAACCAGCAAGCAACACCTCCTCCTCCTGCCTGGCGGCCCTCGCTCCCGCCGGCGAGCATGGCACCTCTGAGCACCCTCACCAACCAGCTCTCTCTACTCAACGCTTGTAACCATGCTGCCTTCTCAGTACCAAGCTGCACTGTACATCCAATACAAAATGTATACAGAGAGCACATTGTGATTTTCATTTCTCCATCCCATCCTGAGTGTGAACCAATAACTCGTACCCCACAAATGGTGACCCCCGGAGATTCGCACTCACACAGGATGGAGGAGAAACTGATCACTCTCTCAGTCTTCAAGCAACATGGAAGATTGGCTTACCCACGCAGAGGCAGCTATCATCAGCTCTACAGCTACTGTCTCTACACCGCAGGTTAGACACCATAGAGCAGCTCTGCTACTCTAAGCAGACAGCCGCTCCTCTTCCTGCCCCAAGCACCACGTCCTACCGACCCCAACACACCCGTCCTGCCTCAGACGCCACCCCCGGCCCAGCAGTAACCCCTGCCACTGTCCTGGACCCTCCTCCTGACGCGGACCCTCCTCCGCTCCTGCCTGGCAGTCCCTGCTCCCGACGCGGCCCATGCGCCTGAGTGCGGCCCCACACACCCTTTTTTTTTTCCCCTCAGGTACCCCCTGCTACTGTCCTGCACCCTGCTGCTGTCGTGGACCCTACTGCTGTCATGCACCCTGCTGCTGTCATGGACCCTCTTCCTGCTGACACAGCCCCTGCTCCTGACCCAGGCCCACACACCCCAGCAGGCGCATCTGAGGACTCTGTACCTGTCGCGAGTGAAGCACAACATTCATCGCCTCCACAACCCTCCTTCTCCCTCTTTTCTCCCACAGATCTCGTGTATCTAGACAGAGTTGCCACCCCCCCTCCCAGCGGCCGGCTCATCCACGCCCTCGCCGTTATGTCCCACATGTGGCATGCGCCGCCCGTTCTGCCTCACATGTGCCATGCAACCCTGCAGACAACAAGTCTCCTACACCGCCTGGAGGGAAGGGGGAGTATTGTAGTGGATTCCCCCCCTACAAACGCTTGTCGCTGAGTAGCCGACCCCGCAAATTCCCCAGCGTATGCCTCGTGGTCTAGGTCAACCAGCGCCGCCTTACATGACGGAGGTCAACTATTAAGCCACGCCTACCTCCGCTATATAAGACCTGACCTCGTGGTGACCTACCTCTCTTTCTACCTACACCAACCAGCAAGCAACACCTCCTCCTCCTGCCTGGCGGCCCTCGCTCCCGCCGGCGAGCATGGCGACCCACAAGCTGATCCTCCTCTGAGCACCATCACCAACCAGCTCTCTCTACTCAATGCTTGTAACCATGCTGCCTTCCCAGCACCAAGCTGCACTGTACATCCAATACAAAATGTATACAGAGCACATTGTGATTTTCATTTCTCCATCCCATCCTGAGTGTGAAGCAATAACCCGTACCCCACACTACCAAACAGGGAGGTACTACCCCCTGGGAAGATATTGGAAGCACAATGTGTTGTCTAATGGTAGACCCTGCTGCCATATGGTATCACAAAAATTGAGACCAAGTCCCAGGTTACTGATCTGACTTTCTGCCTCATTTACACACAATTGCAGGGTCTCAATTGTTTCACTTATTATTGACAACAACAGTAAATACATTTTTTCACCTAATTTTCAAGGTCCGACGATGAATTAAAATGATTAATGAGGATTCAGTACAGTAATTTATTGTTGAGAAAATACCTGTAACTGATTTGTATATATAATTATTTAATACTGTTTCTGGACTAGATAGAGCTTACCAGAAGGAAGAGCTTCACACTTAAACAAGGTGTGGTGGAACATCACACTCACCTTTAGGGCAACGGTACACACACTTTCCTTCATTGAGGTAAGAAGTAGATCGGCACGATGCACAGTCAGTGACACTGCCGCCTACACAAGTCTTGCATTGTGGGGAACATGAACCACATCTGTAGGTTTAATACTTCATTAATAATTTGTTAAATGGAGTGGACTGTGTAATACACTAGTATCATATTCACTTCTTTTTACTTCACAGTTCTGTTTGTTTTGTGAATGTTCATATTACAGTTGAGTTGTATCTGACCATTCATGACACAGAATTCAACTTCTTATTTTTGAGATTGTAATGAATTTCATACATTTTCTAAAATTTTAATGAAGTCCTGTGTTATTAAATACAGAGAGGAAAATAAAGTAAAAACTTACTTATTGTCTTGAGTCTCATAGAAGCCTTCAGGACAGTTGGTGAGACAAGAACCATTGGACAGAAGAAGGTGATGGTCACATCTTGAACACTGTTCTGGGTTAATACACTCAGAACAGTGGCCACCACAGTGTAGACAAGAGCCATTTACTAAAAGAAAATTATGTTTAACCATTAAAAATCTGACCCATGAAGAATATAATCATAAAGGCTGATGTTTCTTTGAGCAAGCAATTTATTTGCCAAAATTCAGATTTCTATGAAAGCCAAAACCAACTGAACTTTCTTGCAGGAGATAAAACAAGAAAAGATGTTCACCTGCAAAATATCCTTCAGGGCATCTTTCAACACACAGACCAAGGTGAAGAACATAGAGGAAATCAACACGACAAGCTAAGCACTGATTCTGTGCCAGGCCGCTACACATGGCACACGATGCATGGCAGCCTAAGCAGTCACGTTCCTCTGACCCATAAGTTCCCTCTGGACAGCTTCCCACACACTCCCTTCAAAAGAGATAAATCAAGAATTAATAAACCTAAAATATTTCAATCAGTTCTAATATCCTACACTAGTTACAACAATAAAGTCAGATACTGTATACCAATTGCCTTCTGCACCTCCCCAAGCTCACCTCTTGGGTTTAGGATGACAATAAGTTCTGGAAATAAAAAACTGTTCAATTTTCACTTTTACATAATAAACGAATGTGTGAATATGTAGCTTCAGAAAGGGAGGTACAGTTGATGTGGAGGTCTATCAATGAACAATGGCAGCAGGTGACAAGTCAGAGAATGATATGGTACTGTACCAAGTAGGAAACTGTTGTACAGGTGCAAGATTAAGTGCTAGTACGTACCTGTAACAAGGTGGTATGGAATTAAGGTCCCATTGAATATGAGATGAATTATTAAAATATTGTATGTACAGGAGGAAACTATGAATAATACAAAGGAAGACCAAAAGTACTGTCAGGGAAAAACATAAGCTGAAGGAATACTACAGAAAGTGTAAAGATAACCATTTGAAGAAAAAGTTTAGGGCATGCAATGTGAAGGAGTTCTGCCTGTGATGATCCACTTATGGTTAAATTTGCAGTATGTACAGTACTGCATGAACACTGTACTGTATTTATAATGATTGTACAGTACAGTATTAAAATCAAACTACAGTACATCTGAATTCTTACCCTTCAAGACTAAAATGAGCACAACCTCGGCACTTGTCTGGTCCCGGGCCGGAACATCCACCGAGACACTGACTGTGGCACACTTCAGACTCCGCATACTTATTCAGGTTGTTATTGTTCTCAGGTGTGGCCAACTGGTTCGGACCTGGCACAACTTTCCCATCAATTGTGGCATATGTAGCATTGGGACTGGACCCTGCCAGAATTTGGTCCAAGATACTATGAAAGAGAACAAGTAAGGAATATAATGTTTAACTTTGCTTTAAGATATCAAATGACTATGGCATAAGCTGTGTTTTTTACATTAATGGCTCACCTCTCTGGCCAAGCTTGAAGGGCAACCACATTTCCAATCTAAACTATCATTCAAATATTGTACAGTAATTCCTAGTTTTCTCTCATGTATTATTACTATTTACTTTAACATCTAGCTTTTCAAAGAATCCTAAAAGACCAAATTTTAAAGTGCTTAAAGTAGTTTTTTGTAAGACTTTATTCTTAAAGATGTAATATGTAAACAGTACCTAGCAGTGAAGGGAAAACTAGGAGTCCTTCTTGTTGGGAACTGTATTCCTGAAGACTGTGTAGAGAGAGGCTGAGAGAAGGAAGATGAATCTGATCGTGGAAGTTGATCTGTGCGCAGACGTCCTGGACGTTCTTTAGTGCCGTGTAATATGAGCTGCCACTGGATCAGTACGCCTGTGCAAAACAGAAAAGAGATACTGTAGATAAGGACCTCTGTTTAATATTTTAGTTATTTTAGTAAAGGGATATACAGTACAGTACTTAACCTGAATAAATAATCTCTGAACTCTCAATCAAAAGAAATCATTCAAGCCATAACTATTATGATGTGTAATGTAGATAATTATTACTTAGTATCTTTTTGAGACTAATGTTCCTATATTTACATGACATGTCCAGGCTAGCTATTAACAAAGTGGATAACATATAGCTCAGTGAAGACTGAGGAACACTTTCCATACACAATATCACTGACCTGTAAAACACCTATCAGTAAATACAGTATACCCCTGTATAGTATGAAACTCAATTTACATAATTATGCTGTTTACAGTACCACATTTTGAGTAGGGCTACACCTGGGTGTAGGGCTTCAGAATATGTATCCAAACATCAAGTGACTCATTGGATAATCAGTTGCAGAAAGAACATTTCACTAAGAGTTATTTATTCTTGAAGAGAAATATTCAGTACAGTCAATTTATTCAGGTAATTGAGTTAAATTTATGAAAGACATGAACAAATTATATTGTATGCTTTTCATTTTAATGTAAAACTTGAAAAGGAGGAGGAAAGCCCAAGTAAAATAGAGAAATAAGGTGCTGTACCTGGGTGGTGAACCTGTTTTGCCCCAGCATTAGTGACCTGCAGCTGCCAGGTCCCTGCTGCCTTCTCCCCCCAAAAGTGGACTGAGAGGAATGGCCAGTCATCAAACTTTTCTGAGAACACATCCCGCGGCCTTTCAAATAACAGTGTAGAGGTGGTGCCTGAAAACAAAAGCACAATTAAACAAAATTAATTAAAGTTATACAGGGTTTATCAGGGAATGTGTATGGTAATATTATCATTAGGAGAATGGTAGCAAAAACCAAAAGTGTACAAGAAGAGGATCAGTGTTTTAGAAAAGGCAGAGGGTGTGTGGGATCAAGTTTTTGCAACAACAACCATAAGTAAATGAAAAGTTTCTGGAGAAGGAAAATAATTTAGCTGTGGTAGAGTATTTATGGATTAAGAAAAACAAGAAAATGCTTCAGAGAGAGTAAATAAAAAAAAAACTGGGATGCATTAAAAATCTACTTAATAAATGGGAAAATGTTGAATGCTGTCCCTGTGTTGAGAGCTTGTTGGGAAGGGCTCAGAGTGAAACTAGGATTATGCTAAGACGGTGGTATGTCCATTTAAATGTTTAGGAAATTCTTTCATTACTTCATGTCTAAACATTTTATCATACTATTGTAAGATACAGATCATACAATAGATGTTGCACATACTGCATAAAAAATGTGTTCATCTAAAATTAGACTTCCAAAGATCTTTGTCAAACATATAATTTACAGGTGAACAAAAACTAAACGTACCAGAGGGGGATTTAAGTTTGATTCTGATGTTTCCACGAGGGAGGAATCGAAGAGAAACTCTTGCTTGTACATGTTCTAAATAACGGACTTCTCTAGAGGTTCCTGCACAGCCATCTGTGGTGATCTCTGCGAACACTGACTCTCCCATAATTGTAGGAATCCCCCTGAGAAGATGAAAACACGTTGATTAGAGGAAGAACATTACAGCTGAATATTCCTACCAATAGTGTCAAGAGGTGCATAATATATTGAGAAACTAGATGAATACAGTATAGTTAATATTGTTTTGATTATTTAGTTATTTTGGGGGATCGGTCTGCTAAAGAGATTACAGCAGTGACACTGGCAACATAATCTTGGGAATTATATCTGGAGAAAAGACATGATAAACGAGAGAAGAAAATTGGAATAAAATTATGATTGTGAGGGACTTAATGCCACATGTTTTAGAATTCCGAGATATCAAGGATGTGTTACCTACTGCACAGTGAGATCTGTGAACACCTGTACATGTACTGTATTGAGAGAATGGAGATCTGCATTAGAATGGAATGCTATGTCACTTTTAGCCCCTTCACTACAGGTATGCCACTTTTAGTATTTTATTTGGCTAATGCGAGACTTTTATTCAGCTCAGAGGCAACCCCATAAACAAGGGGTTAATTATCCAACAATAGTGCCTTGTTCACTGTAACTGAGAAGTCATTTAATTATAAAGTATGATGAAGAGTTTCCAAGATAATAAGACTGCTCTAAGGTTCTCGCCATCTTTCATTACCCCCTTAACTACTGAACATCACTTTTACTACAGTATTTTATTTAGATAATGCCAGATGATTTTCTTCAGCTCAGAGAGATCCCCGTACCCAAGAGATTAAACTAAGTATGTGGACTGTCATACGTCACACACACACACATATTTGTCACTACAGTACAACACTTAAAATCTTTATAGATACTTACTGATCAGTTCGGTCCTTAATACTCTGGCAGACATGTTGAGGTGGAACGGTGGTCCATTTTTCCGCTAACTCCACCAACTTGCCGGCATCCATCAGACCATAGCCAAACTTGTGACTCACTGCAAACATAACATGAACAACTATATTAATGACAGTCCATGACAGCATTTTACAAATGTTGCAAATTAAATTTCAATAAATCTAATCTCATTATCAACTAATTTGCTTCAATACTTCAATAACCAACTTGGTGAAGTACATCAACACACTATGTATTACCTTAATAAAATAAAGTCCTTCAAAGAATTAGCAAAATACTAAAAATTAAAAGATTAATTTTGTGATGGAGGCTCTGGTACACCAGTGACACAGTTTTTCTGGACAGTGAAAATACTGAATAAATAAATTCGTGGAACATAAACAGACACTCACTGATGGTCAGTACAAAGGGGACACAAATTTACCATCAGTGATTAGCTGGACAAACTGAATTATTAGCTTGTCTAATAAACTTGCAACAGAAAAATTTACATATACCCTGTATTATATATATATATATATATATATATATATATATATATATATATATATATATATATATATATATATATATATATATATATATATATATATATATATATATATATATATATATATATATATAGATATATATATATATATATATATATATAGATATATATATATATATATATATATAAACAGTAACAGTACAACTACAGTATTTAGAGCAATGAAAGCTATCAGTGAAGTACTGTAATATACTACAACTGAAACACCATCCAGCCATCCATCAAGCCCACTCCATTCCCAACTCAGTAGGGTGGAGTAGATGCACCAAGCTGCTCATGTACTGTACAGTACAGTACAGTAATTCTGCTTGTTGTACAGTTACTTTATCTTGTTGTCTGGCTTCCGTAAGCTTTATAAACCTAAATATGCACTTTCATTCAGCATAGATTATCCAAGCAATGAGGTAAAAATACAATAATTCTTTAAAAAAGCTATCTTGCAGAACAGAACCTCAAAACACCTGGAAAAACTGGTAGTAGCACTTTCAATAGTCACCATTATTCTCATGTCACCAAAAAAATGGTCATAGTAGTCTGAGTTAAATTAGTGCATACATAAACCATTAGGTTTACACACACCAGGAACTCACATTACCTTACAATGGCTGAGGTTCTGGGTCTCAGTGTGACCTGATTGTATTCCTAGGCTGTTTTGTCCATTGCGATGTTGCTGAGGCTTGTTGCACTCACTTGTGTCTGTCTGTCTACTTCAACATTGTCTCGAGTCTTGTGATGGCTGGTAGTCCATCATGCAGTGAACACATAGCTACGACTTGCTATGCCAGAAAAGCAACACTTATGAGGCTATACATACAGATTAGCACAAAGCCTTGCTAATGCAAGCAAAGGCATGCTCCTAATATCTGACAAACACCACTGATTATCTACCATTACAGGTTAAATAATTACTAAATATTTGATTTAAAATAATGGGAGGTAGTCAGTGATGTTATCATGTCTGGGATGCTCAAAAGGCAATATAGGTACTGTATATGGCTATAATATAGGTACTGTATATGGCTTTAATATAGGTACTGTATATGGCTATAATATAGGTACTGTATATGGCTTTAATATAGGTACTGTATATGGCTTTAAAATAGGTACTGTATATGGCTTTAATATAGGTACTGTATATGGCTTCAGAAAAAAGATACATTAAGGATTTCTTGGCATTATGTTTACATCAAATTTACATTTTGCTTCGAAGAACATAAAATTCTAATCCAAATATTTATGAATAAATCAAAATGCTTATTTAGCAAAACAATAATTATATTGAATGATTCTAAGAACCTGAGACATGCAGTATGGCATTTAGGTTGAAGAGCCAGGAAAAATTATATTTATATTTTATTCATTAGCACAAAATTTCAAAATACAGTACAGTAATCTATCATTCACTGGCACCACCCATGCAGAACATACCCAATCCTAATCCACATTATAATTATCTCTTATCAACAAATTACTCAACATGTACTGGGTAGTTATATGTATTTGAAGAAATGTTATAAATCTTCATAAGGGTTGTCTTTTATCTTAACACTGACTGCAGAGTATTTGGATACTTCCTACCTGTTTTTAGTCCATGAGTTTATCACATATAAGTAGAAATATATTCACAAAAACAGGCAAAGTTTTGGAAATAAGGGTGTGAACATTTGCCTTAAGCTACAGTAGTCTGGGGTAACCTAAAATATCACTTCAAAACTTAGTTAAGTCAAGTCAATTAGTCAGTTTGGGTTGGCATTCTTAGAGCTGGTTGATGTATCTAAAAAGATACACAGGAAAATAAAAATAAAAGTAGTCATCTCTGGAGAGTAGTTTGGAGTATGAGAACATATCATGAATATCTATAAATGTCTTTGACTGGGACATGGTCTGTTATGAAACATGGTAACACCGAAGACAGAAGCCATTCACTGGAGAAACAATCTTCATCCAATGGCAGTCCTTACTGATATGAAGAGAGTGAGAGAGATCCATCAGGTTTGATATCTCTTACTAGGAATGGTGCACTCTACACTATCAGATGGTGAGAAAGTGGGACACTACCCCATTTTGCACTTGACTCCCACAGAAATTCATAATATAGAGACAATATTTTGCATTATACCACTGTGTCATAACCTTTGACACCATTTCATTATAAATTGACATTCCATCAGATTACTGAGACAGGCTTGCCGATATTACACCCACAGATCACCAAAATACTGTACTGTATATAGCCATCCGTAGGTATGACTATGGGTGTCTTACGGTAATCGAACCCGTAAAGCTCTTAAACAGTCTTCTAGCAGTATGGCATTCAGTTTTTTTTTAATATTACCGTGTACTATATATTGTAATATTATAAGTGTTATTAATATTTGCCCTATTGACTCACATATTTTAATTAAATGTCTAACTGTTATGAAGTGTGTCTCCAGTATTGTTTCAATGATATTCCTTTTTATGAAACTGCTTCAAATGATACTTAATTGTATCGAGTTTTGAACTGTTCAAAATAAACTGAAAAGTAGTGGGAATAAAGTGCAAAATGGGGTAGTAATGTACAGTACTGGCAAGTGTTGTGTATGCAAAGGTTCTGTATTTTTAGTACATGTATAAACACACACCCAAAGAGAAGAGAAAACGAAAGAGAAAGACTATCATTTCATCTCCAATTTAGAGTCTTCTTCTTTAATCTCAAGGACAACTACAATCTTCAAGAACACTCAAGTTAATGGGTGAAGGTTGAACAAGGTTGATCACCTAATTCAAACTGCAAAGATAAGGAAGAGGAGTACTTTATTGTCCTGAACTTGTCTATTACAGCAGTAAGATTGAATGAATGACAGTGAATCAAGTAAGTAAGTAAGTAAGTAAGTAAGTAAGTAAGTAAGTAAGTAAGTAAGTAAGTAAGTAAGTAATTAAGTAAGTAAGTAAGTAATTAAGTAAGTAAGTAAGTAAGTAAGTAAGTAAGTCAGTGTGTGTGTGTGTGTGTGTGTGTGTGTGTGTGTGTGTGTGTTTTGTTCTTCATTCCAGATAAACCGCATTGTAGGAGGTAAAGATTTAAATGAACAAAAACTTGGCTCAGACCTGTTTAAACAGATAACCAGCTGAAGCTAACTTATGAATTTCTTGTTATGGAGCTCTTTCAAAACTGCCCTATACAGCACAGTACATATATTAATAAACATAATTATTCAATACAGTGGATGTTTAGTTAGAAATAAATAAGGAAAATGACTTTTATGAAGGTTTTCAGTGGAGGTGTAGGAGAGGTGTGTGTCAAGCTGTTGTCTTCTAAGTATACAGTACAGTACTGTATGTGGATTATTATTTGGTAGCTTGGTTAAAACACACATTTGACTCAATTAAGAAATTTTGAATGCATTTCAATTTTTAAATGGCTTTAAAAAACTAACATCATTTACATAGTTACGAGATGGACAATTAAAATGATCATGCTTCAAGCAACTCCGGGTATGAAAGGCCTAAGGGTTAGTGCAACACTCAAAAGCTATAGCAATCCAGGCTAAGATGCAATAATGCTACATGAAAATTAAATATTGTACCCCTCATGTAAAAGGAATTACTCACCACTCCGTCCAATACCATTGATGAACCAGCCCCTTTCTTGACTCAGTGGCTCAAAGCGTGAAGACATGACCACAAGATGTTGCATATCACGCCATGTTAAATCTGGGTTTGCCTCTAGAGCCAGGGCACACAACCCTGCTGCTAAAGGTGCTGAGGCACTTGTACCTGCATGTAAAAATTACTTTAGTTTCTTGCAACAAATTACATTCTTACTTTAAAAATTAAAAATGTCAAACAAGATATACACTCAAGCTTTATTTCCTATGCATATTTCTGAAAGTGGAATAATTATCAAACTATCCATATCTTCATCATAACAAACTAAACAAAGTATGGAAATCCTATGAGAAAATACAGTGGAAGGTGTACAAATAAGATAAAAAATATAAAAATCTTCTTTTCAGCGCTTATTTCCCATGTAGAGTATCATTAATTTTCCATCACCAATGTTTCCATTGAAACAATATAACATCAGTGTTTTGTCTTTCTTCTCTATTCCTATTACTGTACCTCCTTTCCCTCCCATAATGTATGCTAGCTGTCTCCCTCAACCCTTCCTGCTACATTACCTCTATCACTCATTTTGTCATCATATCCTCTGGTATCCTCCTCATAGTTTTCTCCGGGTACTCCGGTTTCCTCCTGTACTAACACTGGACAATGAAGCTCATGTGTAACAAAAGTACAGACTGACTGCCGTTATGTCCCAAATTTTTTTTAACAAGCAAATGACTAATTTTTTCAAATAAATATGATTTATTTCAAACATGAAATAGAGTACAGTTGAGTCTGGATTTACGCGGATTTGGTTTACGCGTTTCGTCATTTACGCGGTGCCTTGCCAGAATTGAAATGCTTGATTTACGCGGCAAATTTGGTCATTTACGCAGGAAGCGGCCCGGGCAGGGTGCGCACAAGGTCGCCCAGTCATCAAAAAATTACCGGGTTCTTCACCCGCCACCCACCACAGCTGGCCCAAGTCAGTGAGTGATAGTGAGGATATGGACTTATATGGACTTTGAGGGGTTTGACAAAGAGGCCCTGCAAGCCTCTGTGGTGGATAGTGATACAATTGATAAAAGTGATACAGGTGAGGGCCAATAATCTGCCCTCTGCCTCGGAACCAACCCCCCATCCCCATGTGCCCAGCCATCTTTTCTACTAATATAAGTGTTAAAAAACCTAATATTATTGCTATTTCTCTTAATTATTAATTGTGTGTGCATACCATCATAAAATTAAGATGTTATTTTGACTACAAGGTACGTATTGTGTCGGAAAAAGTGGAGTTTGGGGGTCGGCCCAGTCTCTATTTCAATTAATCCCACATGTTCTGTTATTTCATTTACGCGTTTCTCGTTTTACGCGGTACTCCGCGGGTTCAATTGACCGCGTAAATAAAGACCCAACTGTATTTCAAATGCTACTAAGTTTCTGAGTTGAGTTTGTTGATTGATAATTTTTTTTTTTTTAGAACATTCTGAATGGGAAATACTGTACTGATTTATCTTTACGATACAAGATTCTAACAGATTTCAACTGCAAATAAATACTGTACAGTGATGTACTATACAGCACTTACAACTTTGGTATACCTTATGTGCTGGGATATAAGATGCTACTCAATTACTGTGAAACTCAGTTCTATTAAGACAAATATCAAGCCTTCTTCAGAACATTAATCTTTTCTCACCTGTGTGTTCAAGAGTGCACATACGATCAGGCCTAAGACTGCCATCCATATCAACTGTGGCAACACTACTATCGAGTCCTGGTGTTCCTGAACTGTATGTTGTTGCCAGAGTAGAAGAACATTCCTCCAGGTACCATGGCTTAAACCTGCAGTCAAAGTTATATTACATTAATAAAGCTGCCATGGCATCTCTTATACAGTATACTGTACCATTAAATATCTCATTAAATACGAAAACAACAACAAAAGAGAGACATAAATATAGTATATTAACTAAAAACAACAGAACACATGTACGTTAAAGCATGATATACTCTACTATTTAAATTACAAAATTACCAAAAAAAAAAAATATCACCTTGATAATAGTTTTACAGTACAGAATGTAAGCTGGTATATACTGTACCTCATCAATCAGTTATAATACAATTTCAACATATATTTATATCATAACTGTATGAGGAGTTCATGGAGGAATGGGTGCCCCTTGAAACATGTCCACCCACCTGTAGTTCTGTTACTTTTCTTTATCTTTTGAAGTCTGAATGACATGCTACTGCCCTTCATAATACAAATGATGTGTATCTTGTGTGTGTAGAAAAATAAAACACTGTACACACATTAAAATTATTGCCTCTCAAATCTATGAATGACCATTCTTAATATAAAACAAAGGTACCACTGCACCAATAACTATACCCAACTTTATCCATCCTGATTAAAGTGAGCTGAAACAAGAACCTGAGAGGTGTTAATGACATTGTCTTTATGATGTTAACCTTTGGTAGCTGAGACTAATCTTCAAGTGACCTGCCCTACTGTACACACTATTATTATTAACATCCTTCACTGACTAATAACCTATAAACCAGACTAGAAATACTGGACAGATGACCAGAAAAAATGCACAAAATGGTGACTACAGGAATTGCAAAGGCTGTTGGTCTGTGATGGTAAAAACTGTATGGAAGAAGAGGAAAAGCTTATCCATGATTGAAGAATGATTTATTTTTGACAATGCTAGTGTGGCCTGACATATGTCCCTCACACCTTAATAACATGACAGTACAGTACATTTGCAACATAAACCACTGCAAAGTTGGATTCTCATTGATGCACAGACAACCGCATGCACTTCTGAAGCACTTTGGGGATTGTTAGATTCTGTTTGGTTACACTTCTTATGAATGACTAATTTACTATTTTCAAAACTGCATTAAAACAAATATATTACAGAAAATTCTACTAAAAATACCTGATAAAAAAGATAGCGGTACTGAACGTGCCCCGAGGTCCCCCTCCCCCATACTTGTGTGGTCTTTATTACTCACCCTCTCTGTGAAGCTGACGAGATAGACAGTGTGAAGATGGAGTTGGTATAGCCGTCACAGTTGCAGTTATCTGTGTGTCGCCCGCCATTACCAGACGCCCACACGAAGATGGAGCCCTTGCCATGCCGACCCTACACACGGAAAATATTGCTTATTAATAAATGATGAAGAAATACATAAGCCTACTTTTGCCAGATTAAATCTTTACTGATAAAACAATGAATATAAAACATGATATTAATTACGGTAAACCCTCAATAACTCGGCATGTGATAACTCGGAATTCCATATAACTCGGCATGGATATGGTCTCGGAATGTATTAGTATAACATGGGAAATGTTGAGATATGTAAAATTAACAGGGAAAATCTCGGTATATCTGGCCACCTGCATCACCTACCATGCCTCTGTGTCATCTACCATACCTGTGTCACCTACCATGCCTCTGTGTCACTTACCATGCCTCTGTGTCATCTACCATACCTCTGTGTCACCTACCATGCATGTGTCACCTACCATGCATGTGTCACCTGCTATGATGCTTCATTCTTCACCTGCAGTGCTGGTAAGTGTTACTTTCTTACATTTAGTAATTATATGTACACATATATGGGTCAATAACTTTTTATTGTTATATTTCTGTAGGAGGGGGGAGGAAGTGCCTCGATAAGTCAGAACTTGGGATAACTCAGCAAGGCCAGAGCCCCATATGTGCCGAGTTATCGAAGGTTTACTGTATACTGTACACCAATCTCATAATTCAACACATTCCTTGAATATATAACTAGAGTACATACAAAAAATACTGCAAATACAGTAAATAAATGAATACTGTATATCAAAGTATAAATATCAGTGAAATGCCACTATTCCTAGGAAGGTGCTTGTCAAAAATCATGGTACTGCAGGCTGAAATATGGCCAGCAAAATAATCCTTCATTCTGTGCCCGTGACAAAGCTAAAACTTAATATATAAAGAAAGAGTTTACCAGATATACCTACTTGGAAACTAATTTAAATATCTATCAGCAAGAGATCTAAGGTATCTGACAAAAATTATGATACTAACAGAAAAAAATATGCAACAGGCTTTAAACACACTGAATTTCCGCTCAATTAAAAAATGAATACTATGGCAGACTCGGAAGTTCTCATACCCTGATGACACCATTGATGAAGGCTCTCTTGGCCAAGGGTCCCGGGCCATCAACTGTCTTGCCATCGTCCTCAGGTCCCCAAGACGCTGAGAAGATGTCGATGTGCTCGGGGTTGAGGGAAATAGCCCGGGCCTCCACTGCATCATTCACGGTTCCATCCAACATCCTCACACCTGCAACACAGATTACAATACAAATTAAAATGCTGTCAACATCCTAATTTAATCGGAGGCTTACACATAACAATGAGGCTTCTGTGGGACAATGTAACAGTTAAGTAACCAATATTCAACATAGGCTACCTCAGCATACCACTGATAAGAGAGAAAATACCTTTGTAGGCAGTAGGCAGCTATCAAACTTTTTACTTTTACTTTTATCCCCTTCGCCACTGATCGGCTTGTTAGCCGCTTGGGCGATCGGTCACATCTCTGTCACGCACTGTTGGCAAATACTGGGCATGCACCGGCTCCTGAATGTACCTGAGCCCGCTCCAGTGTTGGTCAAGTCTTGTCTTGAAAGAGCTCACACTCGGTGCCGTCACAACACTCTCTGGTAGATTGTTTCAAGAGTTTACAACCCTCACTCCGAAAAAGTATGCCCTCATGGTTTTCTGGACTTGCGGCTTCTTCAATCTTGAGCTGTGACCCCTTGTGGGGCGAGCGTCCGCCAGCTCCAAGTAAGGACACTCAACTGAGTAGTGCCCCCTGAGATGCTTATACACCTCAACTAGGTCCCCCCCTTGCCCGTCTGTAGTATAAGCTAGGCAAGTTCAGGCGCTCCAATCTGTCAGGGTAGCTGAGGTGCCGAAGTGCAGGCACCAGTCTGGTGGCCCTCCTTTGAACATTTTCAACCAACTGACAGTCCCTAGCATATCTCGGGGACCAGATGGGGTGACAGCACTCCAGATGGGGAAGCACTTCACTCCTGAAGATCGTTACGAGGGACGGACCGTCTAGATATCTGAACGACCTTCGTATAAGACCCAACAATTTATTTGCCTGATTTACCTTCTTCTCGCAATGGCCCGAGAACTTCAGCTCATTGTCAACACACACACCTAGGTCCTTCTCACACACAGTCTCAACTAGTGCAGTTTCTTCATCCCGTTGGGACATATGATATGCCTCCTTACCGTTGGTACGCCCCAGGTGCATCCTCTTACACTTCGTGACATTGAATCTCAGCAGCCATTTCTTCGACCATTCCTGGAGCCCACAGAGGTCCTTCTGCAGTTCTTCACAGTCCGCTTGGTTCTTAATTTCCCGAAATAATTTGGCGTCATCGGCAAACATTTGTATGGAGGAGTGTACAACGTCAGGCATGTCATTTACGAAACAAACAAACAACAGCGGGCCCAATACACTGCCCTGTGGTACCCCACTTGTGGTACTACCGCCTGGGAAGATATTGAAAGCATAATGTATTGTCTAATGGTAGACCCTGCTGCCATATGGCATCACGAAAATTGTGACCAAGTCCCAGGTTGCTGATCTGACTTTCTGCCTCATTTACACGCAATTGTAGGTTCTCAATTGTTTCACGTACTACTGACAACACAACATACATATATTGTTTCTCACTTTTGATCTTTTTTTTCTTATTTTTGCCAAGGCTTTCGACAGATCTCCCCATGAAAGGCTGAGAATTAAATTGGAAGGGTACAAGATTCGAGGAAGTGTCCTAGCGTGGATCGGAGACTTTCTGCATGACCGCAAGTAGTGTGTGGTGATAAATGGTACGAAATCTTCATATGTACCCGTAACAAGCTGGGTACCACAGGGCAGTGTATTGGGCCCCGTTGTTGTTTGTTTGCTTCACAAATGCCATGCCAGAAGCTATACACTCCTCCATACAAATGTTTGCGGATGACGCCAACGTATTTAGAGAAATTAAGAACCAAACAAACTGTGAAGAGCTACAGAAAGATCTTCTATGAGCTTCAAGAATAGTCTAAGAAATGGCTGCTAAGATTCAATGTCACGAAGTGCAAAAGGATGCACCTGGGTTACACCAACAGTAAGGAGGCGTATCACATACCCCAACAGGATGAAGAAACTGCATAAATTGAGACCAAATGTGAAAAGGACCTGGGTGTGTATGTCGACAATGAACTTGAGTTCTCGGGCCATTGTGAGGAGAAGTGAATCAGGCAACGAAACTAGTAAGTCTTTGAGAATGTCTTTTAAATATCTGGATGGTCCGTCACTCGTCACGATCTTCAAGGGTGAGGTGTTTTCCCGTCTTGAGTACTGTCTCCCCGCCTGGTCCCCGAGGTATGCTAGACTGTCAATTGATTAAAAATGTCCAAAGGAGGGCCACCAGACTGATGCCATTCTATGGAACCTAAGTTACCCAGCTTATACTACAGACAGGCGAGGGGCGACCTTATCGAAGTGTATAAACATCTGAGGGGGCACTACTCGGTCGAATGTACATACCTGGAGCTGGCGGACGTCCGCCCCACAAGGGGTCACAGGTCAAGATTGAAGAAGCCACAAGTTCAGAAAACTGTAAGGACAAACTTTTTTGGAGTGAGAGTTGTGAATTCTAGGAACAATCTTCCAGAGAGTGTTGTGACGGCGCCGAGTCTGAGCTCATCCAAGGCCAGATTTGACCAACACTGGAGTAGGTTCAGATATACTCAGGAGCCAGTGCATGCACAGTACTTTCCAACAGTGTGTAACAGAGACGCGACCGACTGCCCAAGTGGTTAACAAGCCGATCAGTGGAGAAGAGGATAAAAGTAAAAGTAGGTAAAAGTATAAGAATATATAGCTCACAAAGCACTTGGCATGACAACTATTCAATAAAACAACACTAATATAACAACTGATATACAGTACAGTGGGGTATGCTATAACAAACGGATCCTACTACGAATATTCCTATAACGAACGGTTTTACCTATAAAATTGAGAATGCTATAACGAACGCAACTCCTACAACGAACGCGGATGAATACGGGACTATTTCGCCTGGCGCATGAATATTGTTGTACCGCGACCACAACAAGAGCGTCAGGCGCCATCTTTGTCTCATTGTGTAGCCAGTGCACCACTGTTATTGTTGAAATTTCGTCTTTTGATGTGGAAATTCGCGTTATTTGTATAACTATTTTGTTGTACAAGTATACAATTGTAACAATGAATCGTTCAAAGCGAGTGAGAAAGCTAATAACCCTTGAAACTAAGAAAGAAATTGTAAAGAAACGTGAGAATGGAAGAAGCATTGCGAAACTTAGTGATGAACATGGGATGGCTAAATCGACTATATGTACGATTTTGAAGAATAAAGAGGAGTTAAAAACTGTGCAAGTGGCTAAGGGAATCTTTAGACTTAGCAAAGCAAAGTGTAATGTGATTGAAGAGATGGAAAATTTACTTAGTGTGGATAAAGGAGAAAAAAATGGCAGGTGGTAACATTAGTGAAGCTATAATTTGTGAGAAGGCTAAACAATTGTTTGAGGACCTTAAAGCCAAGACTCCCAGTGGAAGTGATAGTGATGTGCCAGTGTTTAGGGGTACCTGCATGCTGAATAACACTAAGGTAAGATAAAGTACCGTATTTTTTACATTTTCCACAGAATTTTTTCAGTGTTAAGTGGTTGTATTTGGGGGCCTGGAACGGATTAATCCTATAACGAACGAATGCTATAACGAACGAGGTTCTGGAACCAATTACGTTCGTTATAGCATACCCCACTGTATATAGATATATATATATATATATATATATATATATATATATAATATATATATATATATATATATATATATATATATATATATATATATATATATATATATATATATATATATATATATATATATATATATATATATATATATATATATATATATATATATATATATATCTCCTAAAAAAGGAGGATGTCACACAGTAAATATCCACGGGAGGAATGATAATGTCATTGGAAATGTTGGGACATAACAAACAAGTCTAACACATATCATTTTTATAATTAACTCACAAAGACAAGTAAACAAATAGTCAGCTAGCACGTGTCCACAACCAATGAGTTTAATATAATACACTATATTGTGTTTTATATGGGATGACCTGTTACGTCAGATCTGGGTACACGAGTCCAGGAATGAGGTGTGGAAAGCCTCTGTTAGGGGTTGAGGTGTGGAGAGCCTCAGTGAGGGGTTGAGGTGTGGAGAGCCTCAGTGAGGGGTTAATGTGTGGAGAGCCTCAGTGAGGGGTTAAGGTGTGGAGAGCCTCAGTGAGGGGTTGAGGTGTGGAGAGCCTCAGTGAGGTGTGGAGAGCCCCAGTGAAGGGTGAAGGTGGGGATGGCTGGAGGCGGTGCCCCTGGTCGGCCTGGATCACTCACCACTGTCACACACAGATCGGGAAAGTAACTCTTAATTTCTGTTTGCTCGCTGGAATTAGCAAGCCTTTACAGAGAGACGCAGCAGAGAGAAATACTTTGACTCTCAGACCGTGACTTCCCACTCACAGCAAACGCAATCCCGGAGGTAGACTTGGACAGGTTTAGAGCCCGTCCCATTTTACCAAGTGACGCCACCGCCCCCGAGTTTCCACTTTCACAACACACGCTGTACAGTACAGTATACTCCACACAGTTGATCATTTTACTTATTCTTTGTGTAACAGTCATCTTTTAATATGCTGGGGAGGAAACAGAAACGAAAAGATACTAAGGTTTTATATAAAATAATAGGTGCTACTATAAGATTTTTTTTTTTTTTTGCCGCTAACATCGGCTACTTTATTGTGCACCCCACACTCATCCTGTCAGCGGTAGCGCAAAAGGATTACAAAGTAGAGTTTACAACGGGTCATAATAATTAACCCCCGTGGTCAGGATATTATGGCACTGAATGCTACACAGTATTTCAATTACATTATTTGTTTGGTTCTATACATAAAGGGTAACTTATGCACAAATGCGTGAGTACAGGCGTGTGAGGCAGTATGTCTGGCCTCACACTTTGTTATTCACATTTGCGTGAGAAGTATTCAAGCACATTGTGTGTTTGGTTCTATACATGAGAACTGATACAGTTACTAAGTGCAAAAAAGTGGGTACAATCTTAATATGTCGGCTATCTTGCCATTAGAGATGAAGTGTTGTGCCATTTCACACACAGTGTGCTTGGACCTGTCCCTAAAAGGTTCTATCTTCACACAGTCGAGGACGTAGTGTTCAAGTGTGTGGCTGTATGTCTGGCCACACACTTTACATTTAGTTTTGTTTACATCTGCTTGAGGAACATACTGCCAAAGGTACTTATATCCTAACCTTAATCTAGCGGTTACAACATCTTGTAATCTAGTGATCTTGTTACTTGCTCCATATACATGTTTCACTTGATACATCTCATCATGGTAAACTATGGATCGACTAGTGAATGTTTGCACTTATCTACTTGCTACTATAGTATGCGGTCTAACGAGCATACTATAAAGTAGCACCAAAAACTAACATTTTCGAATGTTAAGCTGTCTCCATAAGGCCTAGAATGTATGTATTTACACATTTACACCAAGAACGCAAGTTGAGTGTTTTAGAAGCTCCATTTCTTCTTGTGGGTGATATATGACTGCTGACCCACGTTGAAAGGGTGGCTCCTCTACTGTCACGCATAACTCCTCACACTTCGTTTCACACTCTTCTAAAACACCCAAGTGACAGAATAATTACTAACGAGGCAAGCGAGTACGATGATTGTCTGAAACCCGATGCGGACTATCACTGCTAGCCACACGTAAGATGCACTAACTCCACACGCCGTAAATGAGGCAAGGTAGGGCGGACAGGTCGCGGCTACGATTAGTTCCAGTGCTTTGAAGACAGCCAGCTGGCATTAAAAGTGTCTTGGGATATGATTAACTGGCGCTGGGTCTAATCTCTTACAGTTCTAACAGGCCTTAAGCGTTGATGTAAACCTTAAGAGTCTATGTACCCTATCAGTCCCAACAAACTGGTGCGGATCTATAAATAGCCAAATAAAGGTCTTTGGGGATTCCACTCAGTATGGTATCATAGTACAGTACTAGGGTAGCAGTAGCACTTAATTCACCGCTATCAAGCACAGTGCTAAAACCTTTCACTAAACCCTTGCATACCCGCGGCACGTCTCAACCTTGACACACTGGCTACTTTCACTGGGGGGTCTCCGGTAAATACTCGCCGCAGTTGCCACTTCATCACCCGTGGGCCACGCACAGCCCCCACACTTCACCACACACCCGTTAATATACCAAACTTCAGCGACTGTGCCATGAAAGTGACCAATAAGTAATATGAATGGCCAAGATAACATAGTACTTGCAAACAACTTTATCCATTGTGTCACCAAAGAGCACAGCAGCATGCCAGCACAGCCAGGCGAGGGTGTGTGTGTCTTACCCAACGTGTTCATTATGAGATGAGACCAGCGGTCCTTAGTGACCAACACAGGTTCTTAAATTACCAAACTTTCGAACCTGGAAGTATAAAATTTTCACAAACTGAGCATGGGGGTCCGAAGAGGTGGGGGGGAAGTGCTTTCTTCCCCTCTGGAGTTTCCTGATTTTGTATTTTATTTATTTATTTATTTATTTTTAACAAATGCTAAAGTACCAGCGTTCAGGTCTCACAATTAGGAGGAAGAAGCCTTTCTTGACCTGACAGACTGGCTGGGAGTCTTGTGGAAAAAGCCCGGGGATGTCCATGTCAGTTAGGTCACGATAAACATTAACCCTTATAAGGACTGCACTGTGCCGAACCTCGACATCTACAACACTGTAGTAACTTTTTTTTTCAGTTTTAAAACATTTTATTGGTGATCAGTTTTGAGCTTTAATTTAAAACAAGAGTACAGTATTGTGTCGGAAGCATTAATGGCTGTAGTCATCACGCAACACCGACCCGGCGCACACAACACAATAACACAACGCCTTTACACCACACAACTTAAACCACTCACATTTCAGCTGACAACACTTGCAAGCTGGTTTTATGGGACGGAGTTTTCATTAAATTATAGGTTGAGTCAATAGCTCTATGAATACCAATCCTGACTCATTGACTGGCCAACACACACACTGACTTGACTTAGTATCAATTGTTAATCAAGTTACATAAGAATGTTGTAACTATAACATATATATCTTCAATTTGGTGGACAAACAAGGAAGTACCTAAGTTAATAGTTTCTTTTCGGAGTAAGAACTTTGTCTTAGTTATTTATTCAATTTTGTTTGCACGAGTAAGGACCCTAACAGGGGGACCCAGCCAGGTGTGTGACAGTGAGCCTCGGAGCTGACCCTTATCACGTCTGGCGGCTCAAGGTGTTAACCAGTGTCTTCACGGCGTGGCAGGGGAGGAGGCCCTCACTGTGTACCATACAGCTCCTCCAGGATACTCTTGAGGAAAAGACCACAACAGCCTGCTCACCCACCAGGCTCACATGCTGAACTTGTCTCGGTCTCAAACGAGTATATGCGGGACTTGGGGGCGCCACCTACACATTTACATCCCCGCGTGTTGGAGCACAAAGGTAACTCACGCCGCTGGTATTCGACGTGAAGTGAAAAATATAAAGCTCAGTGTACAAGTAGTTGTGTCATGTTGCGAGAGGATGATGTGATGTTTGTTACACCGCTGGAGTGTAACGTTCAACTAACACGACGTATGGTGAGAGGAGTGCACAGAACGACTAAAAATGAAGCGTTCATAACACCACTATGTGTCACCATACACCAGCTTAGATACAAAACAACTCTAAGCGTCTGCCACTCAATTCTATATTTACACTATCTACAGACTTATTTGACGGGTAATGTTGCTATATCTCCTCTTTTAATATAACAAAATATTTAAATTTGCAAAGCATTATTTTAAACATAACAGCATAAATGTAATACAGTATTCGGGATTCAGATGCAGGCAACAACATCGATTGTAAGTGACCCTGTGATTGGTCTACAACAAGTCATTTGCTAATTGCTTCGACAGTGATAACGTGAAGACTATTACGGTGGTGCTCAACTGGGCTCACGGGTGGCGACTCCGCATTAATTCAGGAGCACTGAACAATGGTCCCTGAACAGTTGTGTATAAATATGAGGTTTGTTTATACAAGAGGAGGGAAGATGAGAGTACCGTCGCCACTCTCACATCTGCTGTAGCTTATGACACCAGCAGTGGCGACCTACTCTCACACCGGCAGAAAATACACACACAGACACATACACACACCGGCAGAAAATACACACACAGACACACGCACACATTGGCAGAAAATACACACACATACACACACGGGGTCTACACAAATGATCTGAAGCAATAATCATGTGTTATACTCGCTTTCCCTGCCAGGCCAGTCCCGTCAACACAACTCATTCAGCGTTAAGGTCAAGCATTAGGTGTGACAAATTCATTTTCAGTTTTACAATTGGTTCATAAATCAAGGCCTTTGTCTGGTCTTTCGTACACCACTGAATAATATAATCCATTAACGTAATAAAAACTTAACAAAAGTATCCGGGTAGAAAGAACCATTAAAAACTAAATAAAAAACATTTATATTATTTTTCAATAACCACAATCTCCTCTGTCTTGCACCCCCCCTCCCCCTCCCTCCCAGCAGCAGATTTGGCGGTAAATATCCTGGGTTGGGTGAGCTAATAAGGCTATATGAACCAATAACAACGAGTGGGCAGAGTGGTGCACCTCCCAATATTTTAGTCTGCCTCCTGCACGGCCAAGATAACCTCACCCGGGTTTTCCGTTGTGTGCTGACGCTGGCCGGAGGGTAATTCCTATTTACCTCTTTGATTACTTCCCTGTTTGAAGAGGAGACAAGTGGCCTGCCCTAATACATGTATTTGTACACCTGAGTCAGCATGGGTGCCTCTGTGTATAATACAATAGTTTTGGGTGTATTTTAAAACCCTTACATTTCGTTAATACATTGAAGTTTGTGCAGCCATTCCTTCATCAAACCAAATTTCTGTGATACATTAGAGATGTTGGATATGAAGGTCATTAAGAGAGAGACATAGTATCTTGCACCACCACGCCAGGCACCTCCTCCACACTTGACTGACTTCCGGTCAAGGCAGAACACCGGCCATAATGGAGTCTGTGACCAACGGTGCCACCACCAGAGGACATATTTTTTACCACCTGAAGAATCTCCACCGGAGTTTATTTCACCTGAAGATTAACCACCCTAGCGCTAACCTAACCAAACCAGAACTCTTTAAAATGTTTGTTATGATAAACGTTGCTCCCCACACACACTCACCTCCTATACTACTGTTGTAAGCGACGCCAACACCACAGTAATCGTTGAAGGCGACAGCGGCCACCTCCCCGGCACAGCGGGTCCCGTGTCGGTTGTCGCCGTTGTCGCGGGGGAACGGGTCTGGGTCCCCGTCGTTGATGTCCGACGACGCCAGCGGGTCCTGTGAACGACAAGGAGAGAAGGAGGGTTAGTGAGGTGATGAGGGGGGTGGTTTTAGTTTTTTATTTTAACACATTTATTGACAAAGCTTGTAGTACAGTTTGCCTATTCTGAGTAATTCAGTCAGGTCTTGACACTGAGGGTGGTATCACTTCTCACTGCCACGCAGGACAGAGGTTCGTGGGTGTAAGGATGGCGAGGGGTAAGCGAGGGGGTGGAGGTAGATGGAGGTGAGGGGAAGATGAAGGGAGAAGAGGAGATGGGGTAAGGAGTAGTGGGGGGTGAAGGGAGGAGTAGAGTTTGGGGGTTGGTGAAGCAGTGAGTGGAGGCAGGAGAGATGGGGGGGATGATAGTCAATAGAATGATGGAGGAGCAATGGTCACTATATGAGGGAGGACGAGGAGGGAGGATGGGCAGGAGGATGGAGCAGGATGGGCAGGAAGATGAGGGGACAGTGAGATGGAGGGGATGGGCAGGAGGATTGGGCAGGAGGAGGGAGGATGGGCAGGAGGATGGGCAGGAGGATGGAGGAGGAGGATAAGCAGGAGATGGAGGGGAGGATGGGCAGGAAGATGGAGGAGGATGGGGAGGAGGATGGGAGGCAGCTGATGGGAGGCTGTGTGATGGGGCAGGAGGATGGAGGAGGATGGGCAGAGAGGATGGGAGGAGACAGGCAAGAGGATGGGCAGGAGGATGGGAGGGAGGATGGGCAGGAGGATGGGAGGGAGGATGGGCAGGAGGATGGGAGGGAGGATGGGCAGGAGGATGGGAGGGAGGATGGGCAGGAGGATGGGCAGGAAGATGGGCAAGAGGCCATTACTGAAATTACCCCAATTTACCAAACCTTCCCACCACCTCCTTATAAAACCACAACACAATAGTCCTGACGATCCTAGAGACGCCCTTACCACCACCACCACCACTACTACCACTATGTTTTGTTCACACACACACACACACACACACACACACACACACACACACACGCACACACCAGGAGAGGTATTACTAGAGAGAGGAAATGAAGCCCAGCTGGTTGATACTGTGTGTGTGTGTGTGTGTGTGTGTGTGTGTGT